GATAGCATGTATATCTGCTTCGCAGATACAAAAAGGATTTAAGGCAGTAAGATATTAAGAACCAAAAAGAAAGACAAAAGAAAGAAATGATATAATTATAAAAAACTACTTTCTGAACTTTTTTTTAAATGTTAGTACGAATCAACAAAATTAGCTTTAAGTTTTCGTTTGAGCTGAGTGAATGACAATTTTTTGTCAAAATCGCTGAATGCATTCCATACCTTGATACCCCGATATATAATATTAAATAAACCAAAATTTGTCCTGGGTTTAGGTAATAATAAACAATGTCCCGACGCAAGTCTTGTATTATATTAGCATAAAATAAATAGTCGAAAAGCCACCTTAAGTGGGGAACTCCATTGACATTCGTTTGGCTGTATCTTACATGCAGTATCCATGAGTATGAGTAATCAACCCTGTTGAAACAAAAGAAACTCAGGCAACTATGCAATTACTTATAATAAACATCCATGTTTCTCAGTGATTTGTTTGTGGCTTTATTAATTATTCATGAATTTTACAATGTTTTAATTTTTAATTAAATATTACAGTGTCAAAGCAAAACAAAAATCACACGACAAGACTTTCATTTTAGTATATAGTCTACTTCGCATGCAACTAAAATGGCAATAAGGCGATATTTACAAAGAACGAAGAAACATTAATAAATTTGAAGAATAAGCTCAAGCCAGAACAAGCCAGAATAAGCTCATCATATTATACTTGTTTACACTATATTGACTAGCTATAGATTATATATCTTTACAGCAATTACCACAGTTAACTAATGTTCGTATTGTAAGTAAAGCCGCGTACATACGACCAGTGACAGAAATCCTGGGGGGGGCTGCCGAATTGACGAATTTTCAGAAATTTTTTACCTAAAAGAGGGCTAAAAACAGTCTTTTCGAGTGCAAATGGGGGGTATGTCGGAAATTTGAAAGTTTTGTCGGAATTTAGGAGGCTTTGCGCCCCCCGGAAATAGTGAATTTCCGCTACTGCATACGACCTTGACAAGTATTTGGTATCGGCCGTTGCCGTTAAATCTCTTTATTTTATTGAAATTTACTTTCGAAGTTTGTTATCGAAAGACGGTTTCATATGCCTTTAATTTTGTTGCAGGCACCTTTTATCGAAAATTATTTCCTACTAAAATAGTGCAGTAGGATGTCGGAGAGTATATATAGCAACTTGTAATTCCGCGACTATAGAATTACGATTGCACGTATATTTTGTTTTTATTTACTATTGACGAATTAAGTAGCTCTGCGCCCTAATCCGTCCTGTACTACTTAATCTAACGCCAGACTGTTTTAGTTTTTAAGGGGAGAGCGCTGGCCCTCAATGGGTTAATCAGACTACACGCGTAAAAACGCTCAGGTTGATGTATACTGATGAAAACAGGATTGAACAATGTTTTGCTGTCCACATTGTTCATAGCTGTCAACAATATTGAACGATATTGTTACACCCGATTCAGGCTCAACAACATTGTTCAATATTGTTGACAAGTGTGAACAACGTGGGCAGCAAAACATTGTTCAGTCCTGTTCAGCAACGGGCTAGCCGCTTTTTACCGTGCAATTTACAACATGCATTGCGCCCCATATTTATAATCACAGTTGTTGGCAAAAGCTGTTCTGATCCCTCTCACACTTTGAAATGCTATTTATTTTATTCTCGTCATTTGTTATGCGACATTACAGTTGTGATAAAGCTTGCAAAAAATTATGTTACTCTGTCTAAAACCGGATCATATTACTATATCTAACGCCACACGATTTTACTTGTTAAAAAGGGATTAGAAAGCCGGCGCTTAGTGGGCCAGATCATGCTCTTTAAGTATCATTCGCGATCATTGATTAATTTTCCAAAGTGTTGCAAGCCAAATGAAGTTGCGGTGGGTTTATTAGACGCTACAACATACAGTACTTGTCGCGCATCACTGCGAAAAATAAAAACAGATGTTTGGGACTTTTTATTGAATGATTACTATACAGCGCGCCGTTGCATTAGTAGTTGCTGCGAGTATTGTCTCATATGATATTCAACATGGCGTTAACAGAGCCTGCAGTTATGATCTTGCTGACTGAAAGCATTGTACTACCTTCATTCCTTCACGATGCAAAATTGAATTTCTCCAGAAAAATATTAAACAGTTGAATGTTGAGTTGATAGCGATAAGTGTGCGCGACCATATGTTAAACAACATGATCTGTTTATCCCCCGGAGACGTTTTCAATGCCAAACGCCAAACAGAATATATAACTTCTGGAATAGAACACACGAAAAAACAAGCAACGGCCAAAGAACATGTGGAAATATTTTTGAAACCCAACTTGCTTCTTTTCCTTTCTTTATCACTTGCTATTTTTGGAGTATCCCTTTTGTCATTGCGTTTCGACTTGGCGATGATCAACATGTGATAGTTTAAGAAAATGAACAAAAACAGTAGAGATAAATTAAACACGTTTGTGAGAACATTTTCAAATGCTTCGGTCTGAAAATATAAAAATATCGAGAGACTGACTTGTATAATCATAAAAAATGCCAGAAAAAATGTAAGTCTCCTTTTAGTGACTGCAGTTTGATGGAAAAATGGATATTTTAAGGCAAAGAATCGTTCGACATTCAGGGTTAATAGCGCAAGCATAGACAAACCAACCAAAAGCCAACATAGACACTTCAGTGTGCCATTAACTTCTTCATAATAGAATTGCAGGGACCAGAAAACTGTTGATAAAATTAGAGCAGGATGATAGATGGCGACAACAGCCAGATCACAACAAGATAAAACAAAAATAATAAAGTAGCATAGTTTCTTTCGAAGTTGTGACGACCGCCATAGACTGATTATTACCAGAGAATTCAGAAATATTCCTGCAACCATGAAGGAAACATTCAGAAGACACAAAAATAGCGCGTTAATAAAAGTGTTTGGATCCATTGTAAGTCTGGTGTTTGTAGATAGATTTTGCTATTCCTTTTAAAACGTGTTCTGTCGCACATAGAATACATTAATAAAATTATGCTAAAACATCTGCAATACATCTGTTCACTTGTTTATATAAACTGGAATTTTGTCATCATTGAAGTACGTCTTATGCAAAGGCTCTTGGAACAAAACATCTAACTAGCATAGATGAATGCTTTGCTCCTTTATGTCAAGTATTCACGGTTAAATTGTGCATTGTATTATATACGCTTCACTATAATTACGTATTCAGTTCTCATTAGCAAGAAGATGAAGCGTCTGGTGATAAATATTAATAAGAAGTTTCCTAATTCTACAGTAATATTGGTCTTTCTAGTATGACGTTAAGGCGTGATCTAAATTTGGAAGAGCAAGTTGCGAAAGTCAACGACGGGCTTTAAGGGTTCTGTACGAAGAACGAGTTTAACTTTATAGACAACCGGAATCTGGACAGTTTATGTTTACACGCAGGTCAGTTACATTCAAACGCTGAAGGTACTGCATACTAATTGGCTGCCAATTTTATTAAATATTTACGAGGAAACACTTCCTTTCCTCCCATTACTAGCCCAAAACAACGACGCAATCAGGATTTTCTCAACAAGATAGCATAGTCCGGCTGAGCTTTCTAGAGGACATTCTAAGTATGATGCTGAGTCCCCATGCAAAGACCCAACAACCGTTCAAGGCGATCCTGACTGAACCTTGGTGTACGTGACCCAATCGAAATACGTAGTGACGATAATAATTATCAATTATCCCTTATTGACTTAATCTATTTGAAAGGGTTAAAAATCGCATGCTTAAATACTAATAGCCTCTGAAAGCACATACTCCTCTAGATATCTTAGCTATTAATGAATCTAAAATTAATGAGACGGTTTCGGACGATGAAATAAGCGTTAGTGGTTTTCACCTAATTCGAAAAGGTGATTCGCGGAGGAGGATTATTGATGTATATATTCGCAAAACTGTTCCTTTTAGCGAACGGAATGACTTACGAACGGGGCATGCCCGTTGGAAATGTTATGTGTAGAAATAGTAGACTATGCACGAGAAGGCCATTCTTATAGTACATACTGTATGCATGCTATTATTGCTATAAACCCCCAGGCTCAGATACTCGCCTGTTTGACCATTTTGAAAATGTTCTTACAATAGTAGATGTGACTTAAAAAACAAAGAATTATTACTTATGGCAGTTATGGGTGATCTAAATTGTGATGTTAGTAAGATTAGTGTCCTCCTGATGCTCACACGCGTAGACTGAAATTACTTTCATGCGTCTACCACTTGAGCAGTTAATTAGCGAACCCACAAGCTAAGGGTAAAGAGAACGTCAGCAACCTTGAACAATTAGCCTCTTTACCAACAAGAAAGAAAATATTGTAAAATCCGGAGTGGCGGAGTTATTCACTTATTCATCTTGGTCATATCACAGTTTGATTTTTGGCGTCTGAAAATTTTCTACTCCAGAATCTGGACAAAATGCTATATATGTCCGTAACTTTAAAAATTTCAATGCTACGGACTTTCTTTAATGATCTATCACAGATGGCATGGGAAAATGCGGCACAATATGAAAATCCAAACTCTTGTTGACAACTATGAAAACCTTTTTACTTGCAAATACTTGGACTACTACATGTACCATTTGGATGCATGATAACCCGAGGCAACTCACTTTCTTGGATTACTCCAAACATCAAACAGCTGTCAAATTTAATTCTCATGCAATCACACTGGGCGAAGTACATTAAGACACTCGCAATAAAGTTAACTCTTTGACAAATTTGAGGATTGTGCTCAGAATAAAGAAAGTTAGCACCATAGTAATCACCTCTTTGGTAAACATTATAAATCAAACAACACTGGCCAATTAAAAACAGGCGACACTATTATTATGATAATTTAATGATAGGCTGATAGCAGAGGCCTTTAATAACTTCTTCGTGAGCATTGAGCCAAAACTATCCGCTGAAATTGACCATGACGCTCTGGACGTGACAGAAAAGCTCGTTACTTGTCCAGTGACTCTATACTGTGTCTGAAATCTACGAATACGAAGTATTTCTTTTGGTTAATAACCCTGAAACCGGCTCACCGTTCATGGGTGGTCATCCTCACTGATTTCAAACTATGTAGCGAACTGTTGTGAATAGTGAACACTGATTGGTCAAATTTGAAATTGGCATTATAACGACTGCATTGACGACAGCGAAATAACAAACATTTCTTTCAAGTTGTATTTTTGCAAGATTTTGAAAATTTCAAAACCTTTCTGAGGGCCAAAAAACGTACAAAAAACTTCTAAAAGAATGGAGCAAAGTCGCCAACGTTAATAAAGGTAACCCACCGGGCACACGACGTTGTTTCAATGTTGAAATTTGGTAGAAAAAAGGTTGCGACGTCGACAACCTAATATCTACGTTGCTCTGACGTTGTTTTACAAACATTGGTTCAACAGCAGCCAACAGACGTTGAATCAACGTTCATTCATGGTTAAATGTACGACGTCGATTTGTGAACCAATCTCAACGTTGTTTTAACGTGGATTCAACGTTGAATTATGGTTGACGAGATTGGCAACCTAATTTCAACGTTGTTTCAACGTCGAAGCAGTAACGTCGATCCAATTTGCATAGTTAACCCTTTTTCAACGTCTATCCAACGTCTGGAAGGTCATTTCCAACGTTGATTCAACGTTGGATAAACGTCATTTTGCCGACTGGGAAGTTTGTTATAAATATTGATGTATTGTTTGTTTTAGTATAATTTATATATTTATAACTTATAGTGATGGGCGATACTGCGATAATCGAACTGATATACTACCGTTGCGCTCGTCGTTGCGTATATAAGTGAAAAAAGACAGCATATATATAATTTCAGTGTAGTTTTATTAATTACCCTTTCTTTTGCATATTAAAATATTTAAAGACCATGTAAAGTCCGTAATGTAAACAAACGCTTTGTTTACATTTTGAACTCAGTGCTACAGTTATAAAATAGGATTAGATATATATTATACTGAATTTTTAACACTCTTCTCGTTCGCTATGCTTGTAAATGAATACAGACTAGAGATTCAATTGAGAAAGTTCAAAAGATACGAAATATTACTAACATTCCAACGGTCGGGTCCCGACCATTGGAATGTAAGCTTGCGCAGAACGGACATTACATGGTCTTTAAATAAAGAGGAAAGCAAAGTTATAATTCTTCATGCGAGAATTTGAAATCAGTTTATTTCAAACTCAATGTTTACCATTACTTCGATAAAAGGCCGTTCAGTTCTAAGAAGATTTTAAAACGTTTTGCGAAGCATTTGTGGTTGAATTTTACATTAAATTGAAGCTTATATTACTTATAATAACATACCTAGCATATATATGTTTGGGAAATTGATAATTTTGTTATTAAAAGTGATATTTTGGGGGGCTTTTTCACTTTTAAAACTATTCTTAAAATTATCGTGTTACCATGAGAACTACTTTCAACTCTTCATATTCAGAAAATATAATGTTTTATCAGTATGGCGAGGGTTTCTAACTAATAACTGATCCAAAGATGATTGCTAATGCTTTCAATAATTACTTCTCAAATATAGGTAATAATCTATCTAATGTAATACTTAATGTTCAAAACTCGCCTCTAGATTATTTAAAAACCCCAGTACAAAATAGCTTTTTTATGTTCCGAGTAACTAGTGACGAAATTGTGACTGAAATTTCCAAGCTTAAAAATGGCAAGGCCGCCGGCCCATTTAGTATACCTGTTCACATTCTCAAAATCCTTAAATTTGCAATCTCCGAGCCTTTAGCAACTTTATTTAACACTTCATTTGAGACAGGAATTATTCCAACAAGTTTTAAAATAGCCAATGTTATATCAGTATATAAGAAGGATTCGCCATCCAGCCTTTGTAACTATAGACCAATTTCCGTTCTTTCTGTTTTCAATAAACTTTTAGAAAAACTTATGTGTTACTGTTTACTTGACTTCCTCAAGAAGAAAAACGTGTTTTATGCGAACCAATTTGGTTTTCGTAGAAATTATTCAACAGAATATGCCATTAATCTTAAAATAACTGATAAAATACAAAGAGCTATTGATGAACATGATTATTCGCTTGGAATCTTCTTGGACTTTAGTAAAGCTTTTGACACAGTAAACCATGAGATTTTAATAGAAAGGTTGAATTACTATGGAATTAGAGGATTAGCAAGTAAATGGTTCACCTCGTATCTTTCTGATAGACAACAAATAGTTAAAATAAATAACATAAGTTCTGACCCATCAACAATTTCCTGCGGTGTACCTCAAGGATCTGTTCTTGGTCCAATATGGTTTTTGATCTATATAAACGATTTTCATCAGTCTTAATCTTTATTTGACGTTCATTTATTTGCTGACGATGCCAACTTATTTTATAAAAATGCAAGTTTAGAAAATCTAGAATCTAACCTAAACCAAGAGTTATAGATAAGGTTTACATTCGGCTTTGTGCTAACCGGTTGTCTTCAAATATAGAAAAATCAAACTTTGTTATTTCCCATCCATCTCAGAGAAGGTTACACTCTAACATTCAGTTAACCCTGAATAATATTCAATTGGAACAAAAAAATTGCATTAAGTATTTAGGCGTTCTTATTGATTCACAACTCTGCTGGAAACCTCAGATTGAATATATAGCAAAAAAATTAAGAGAAGCATTGGTGTCCTATCTAAGTTGCGCTATTTTGTTAGTACTAATACATTGATAACTATGTGTTATGCTATGGTTTATCCCTTTGTAATATTCTCGATAATTACGGGAAATACTTATCCTTCAACTATTCAGCCACTTTTTGTGTTGCAAAAAAACGGCTATCCGCATTATAACTTTTTCTAAATTCGATGAGCACTCTAGCCCAATATTTAAATCATTGAAGATTATAAACCTGTGTGATCTTGTCACCCTACATATTGCAATATTATACACTTAATGTCTGCTCCCGAGGGAAATAGTTAGTTTTTTTTCCCGAGAATCTCAATGTTTCCCGAGACGAAGTCGAGGGAAACATTAAGATTCGAGGGAAAACAAAACTAACTATTTCCCAAGGGAACAGGCATTAAGTGTTTTATTATATAGCGACGAACAAAAATCAACTTCAACAAAATTCATACAACAATTGTATTTCGTGACGAAAACTCTATAGTGTAAACGAGTTTAAAATTAAAAGAACCTACTTAAACGGTTTCAGCAGCATATCCTGTTGCCTGTTGTGTATTTTTCTTCTCTTTTATATTCTTTATTTGAACACAAACTTGGAAAATCGTAGTTTCTAACTATCTGAGTTGTGCCTCCATTTTGTTTATTTATGTACGTGGCCGGTCGGGGGCTCGGGGCGGGCAACAATTTTTCACTTGTTGCCCGGCGGGAAACATTGCATTTATCTGAAGTCACGTGACAAACAAATCAGCCAATCACGTTTGGTGTTCACGCTAGCTATATAACAATTATGTTTAAATTTCATCATCAGATGTTACCTCCTGCCTTTGAGTTGTTTTTTACGCCAGTGGAAAATGTTCATAATTATAATACACGTTCACTGGCTATACAGTTTTACTATCTCCCAAAAATAAGAACAGATTATGGTAAATTCAACGTACGATTTCAAGGACCTATAGTTTGGAATGCAATTGATTTTCATGTTAAGTCTCTTTCATTTAAAAAATTCAAAAAATATATAAAACAATTAAGATTTTATAAGTAAATATTAATTTTGTAAAAATAACAAAAAAAAACTCCAGTACATGTTTTTGTATTATATAAGTCGTCTGTCTTTGTGTGTACATACAGTATAATTGTAATCTTTGCTATATGTTTGTATGAGTGCTTTATGTAATTTAGTAATCAACTTGTAAACTGGCTTCCCAGCATCTTTAGCTTTGTGGTTATTTTGGGAAGTCAGTGTCCTAGGTATTGCAAATTTATTTTATGTGTAAGTATGTATGTTTTATTTATGGATTAAATAGTTGTTGTTGTTGTTGTTGTTGTTGTTGTTGTTGTTGTTGTTGTTGTTGTTGTTGTTGTTGTTGTTGTTGTTGTTGTTGTTGTTGTTGTTGTTGTTGTTGTTGTTGTTGTTGTTGTTGTTGTTGCTGTTGTTGTTGGTTTCTGCATGCATGTATTTTCTAGTACATTTATTATCATCCACCGCGGAATCGCCGGAGGGCCGCAGGTTGATTACTGCCAGAGGGTCGATAGTTGCATTTTTCGCAACTGTTCCTGGTTAGACGTCGTCTAATAAATGTCAAAATTTACCATTAAAGAACATCCGTTAAAGATCTACAGTTATAGTTATGCCGAGTGAGATGCCCAAAATCCTGTTATATATGCACAGTATTGGGTATCCGAAAGAATCCAAATCATTGAAATTAACGTCAAAGGTGCCCTTTTTGTTTGGAAATTTCGATGTTTTTTAAAAAAAAATTTGGTCAAAAAGTGCAATTTCGGTATGGTATGAGAGGAAAATTTCTCCCCCCCCCCGGTTGTCAATGTTTCAGGGAATTTTTTTTAGATTGATAAGGATCCATATCCAAAGATGCCCCTGGAACAGGTGTCCCCCCCCCCCACCTATCTTTTGATGCTTCCTAGGTCCATAAAATAATTCCATGCAAGTGGATTAGATTTGTTTATCCTCTTGACAACAGAGTTGCTTTTGTCTACACATGCACGAGAAATTGTTAAATGCCATGAAGATCAGTTGCGAATATTTTAACGTCCTTGTAAAATTAATTTATTTGTTCATTTTAATAGTATTCACTATCCAAGGGGACAACCTCACGCTTCATTACAGCGCATTTAAAATCTGAATTAATGTTCATTGATAACTTCCATAAACATATCGGCTTCTGATTTAGTATTCGTAACTTTCATAAACATCCCTATACCTGTAACCATAGCCTATCGAAGGGAAGATGTCTGCGAAACTCATTAGAATAACAATATGACTCATTATCTATGTTAGTCAACGTTTATTCATAACTCTGGTTCTTCACCGTCACGTGTGTATTGTAATTTTGCCCAACTAACCAACAGTAATGTTTTAGGAGAGTTTCCTATCCGTCACTCGAACAATAACGAATTTGGAAATTGCTATTTGTGGATACAAATATGCGATACAACACGGCAGCTCATGTTGTAAACATTAGATACTGATTTTGAAATTAATGCGGTTTACAAGACGTATGCACATGCATGTGACCTAAATACCGCGTTGTGTTTTTTGAAGCCTTATTAATTAATTATTTTATTCATGTATATTTTAAAATTATTGAGTAATTTAGATTTGGTGTTGAATTTAATTTGCTCTCCTTTGAATTTTAAAGCTTCGGATACACGAGCAATATTTTTGCTGCGATGGTTACGCAATGGGTGATAACAGCATTGCGTTGCCGTCGCACAAGGTGGCTACACCTGCAATATTTCACCTGCAATATATGTCTTCATAACGCTTTCATTGGCTGGTCAAGAAACGTGTCATTCATCAACCTTGACCTTCCTTGACCACACCTCCCAATTTTCGGCAACCATTGCCGAAAATCAAATGATTTGAAATTTCGGCAACGATTTCGCGCAGCTTTGCGTTGCCGTCGCAGAGCATGACACACAAGCAATTTCTTTCTCGCGACGGCAATGCAACGATTTTACCACCATTGCGGCATTGCCATCGCCAGAAAAGTATTGCCCGTGTATCCGTAGCTTAAGTCTTTTCTTAATTTAAACTAAACAGGGTATTTATTTATTTATATTTAGGTATATATATTAAGCTTTGCTGTCCAACAATACTAAAACAATCACAAGAACAAAACGGCTCAGGAACATCAACACAGCGTCAGCCAATACGTTGATGACCTTGTTTACACATTCAATCTACATGCACGATGTAAAACATACGTGCATCTACTGTCGTACACACGATACACTCATTCAACAGCACGTCACAAATCCTTCGCCTGCGTACGTGAGAGCCCTGTGTGTCAGCCCTGTTCCGATGAAATATTAGCCAACATATCCCTCGTATTGATTTATACATGAGAGCCAGGGCGAAAAAGTATCGGACCGGTTGACTTAATTATCGAAAAGGTGCATTAAAACAGACACAACAAACTAATCCATTTAAACTTAAAGCAGACTCAAACTAGCTCATATGAGCCTGGAAGCAACAGTTTTTTGTAAAGTTCACTTGTCTCGTTTAAAAAGGCATTTCTCAAATATTATTTTCCACGATTTCGGTTGATCTAGATCAAATACGGTCCCAGTGGCATATACTAAGTAATACGTTTAGGGTAACAAATTTACGAAACTTACAGCTGTATTGAAATGGAAAGCTGTGTATGCTTTACGCAAAAAACTAAAGCAACAAAATCCGTAAACATTAAACAGTCAAAGCAAACTTGCCCCGGCTAGCAATAATTCACTCTTATTTATTCAAAGCAGATTTGCTTGAAAGCTGAGTGTATCAAACAATATTCCAAATATTTATTTTTGAAAATATAAATGTTTGTTTATCCCACGCCAAGTAAACAGCCATATTTTTTACATCAGTAAGGATCGCCACCCACGCACGATGAAACAGATACACGCCCCTGCGATTACTGACGAACTTTAGATTCGTCGGAACTTGCAACGTTAGCTCGGGGAATATTGGGGAAGGGAAAGTTGACAAGTTTGATCGATTTAGTACTCTTCAGTTCATGAATGTACTAATGTCATAATTGCAACGCTTAATTAATTTTTGTGAATGCATGCATTGCTAAACGCCAATCCGGTAGAGTCTCAAACTGTGCAATTTAATTGGCTGCATGTAACAAATAAAAAATAAAGCTATAGTAAATCACTACCGTATAGAAGATACATTGAATCGAATTCAGGCTTGTTGGTTGCTGGTTGCTGCGCGTGCTAAAATTACATAATAAACAAGGACGGATTACAAACATTGTTTACTGAAATGAAGAAATTAAAGAAATAATTCAAATGAGCGTCTTCTGTAGAAGAGTAAAAGAGGTACAGACCACTAAATTAAATATAAACGTCACACAATCAATTATTACAATCACGTATTAAGCTTGAATGTTAACAGATACCAAGATTATTTTTCGGTGATGCTTCCTTTGGCAGATGCTTCCATTTTAACTGCAGGACATTGCATATGATTCACTTCAAGTGAGGTTACGCGATTTGTTCCACGGTGTTTTCTCGTCAAAAGCACGACAATTATGAATAACAACACGATAACAAGTGCAACACAAATCAATGTGACTATCATCGTTGATCCCAGTGGACTGGATTCAGTCTCGTCTGCTAAAATAAAGTTGAAAGGAATTCAAAATCACATTAGATATAACCTTGTGATCATGGCTCAAACAATGGCTCAACAAATGGCTCAAACATTTCTCAAGTGAGTAACGCTAAACTTCTGGGTGTGGGAGTTGATTCAGAACTGTCGCTTGATAATCACGTTAATTCTACTTCAAAGAAAATTTCAAATCGACTTGGAATTTTGAAGCGAGTCAGCTCATATCTTGCAATTCCTGAAAGAGTCTTGTTCTATAATGCAATGCTCAAGCCGTTGTTCATGTACTGTAGTGTTGTTTGGTCTAATTGTAGACAAGACAACATATTGAAACTTTTCAAGCTTCAGAAGCGTACCGCCAGAATAATTTTAAATTTGGAACCACGGCATCCGTCTATTGATGCATTCAATCAACTTAATTGGATTCCTTTTTATGTCGAATCAGATATCAGGAGGTGCATGTTGGCGCATAAACGTATTAATGGTGAGGGACCAGAATATATGAAAGTTTGCTGGTTTTGAATAACGAAGTGCACTCTCGTTCCACACGTGGTGCAGGACTGTTATTTAGAACGCCGAAATATTATCGTGAAACTGAGGGTGGTAAAAGGTTTTCAACATGCACAAGTAAACTTTGGAACAGTTTACCGCTGAACATAAGATCCATTGCATCAGCCAAAACATTTAAACAGTCTATTATTAATATATTTTTAGAATATCAGAAAGAACATAAACATTTCACTACTTTTACTACAATATCTTCAAACTATTAATTTTGTATTTTAGAAATTTTATTTATGTATATATTGTTTAGTTAATCTAATATGTATTATTGTAATATTTTATTGTATCTGAGGGCCACAGGTTTGTTAGTGTGAATTCACTATTATGTGCTACCCTCGTAAAATAAAGTTTTTCATTCATTCATTCATTCATTCATTCCTGTTCATCCATCCTGAAATTTCGAAGTAGTTGTTATAATTGTTATCCCTATATGCATGGGGCGTTCCAGCGGCGCTAGGTGTGGCGCGAGTTTGGCGTGGGGGTGGGGACACTCGTTGATAAATTGATAGGAAGTAATGGGTAAATTAATATTTATCGGCAAAAGAGTCTGAGACGAAAAAGCGAAGAGGCTGTGGCGGAGCAACCCCAGATCACATCAAAATTAAAATGAAACAGGAATGGGAAGAAAGTTAATTAAGGAACTTACATGTTTACATGGCTTTAGTGTGTCCTTTATGGAAGTAATAAAACTTAAAAATGTATCAAAAGACTAACCTGCATGGTTGTTTTCGTTGTTGATCTTTTCCCGATACATAATAGGACCAATAGAAAGTTGGTAAGTGCGGTAAGTAGCATCAAATGACGATGCCTCACGACGCTTTCTGTTTGAACATGTAGTATTTCGAGCACAAACCGAGTCTGATATGTTCCTGTTACACAGTCCTATGTCACAATGGATGTAAACAAAGCTGTGATTGGCCACGAATCTGAAAACTTTGATACTAAATGCATGACGCGGCGACAAACCGTGTGTATGGTGGGTGATGGTCGTGTCTTTATCGCAGCTAGAAATAAATTAACATTCAGAGAATATGTGGTTGTTTGCTAGTCATCCTTAATTGCAGGTAAGAGCAAACCTTAATTATTAATTAAGGTTACAGAACACCTTTCAGTGTTAATTTTGCCTAAAATTTTTTATTGGTTTCCATGAAAGCATTAGATTAGTTCTACTATCTTACCAAGTTTGAACGAAAAATATTGAACACTCGCAGAGTTATTTAATAAAATACATTTCGCTGCAATAAGAAAAACATTGAAAACGTAATATTCAAATTCAATTTTCTCCCGAAAAAGTTTACGGTAATTACTGATTTTCAAACGAGTTGTGCTCCTGCGGGTTTCAACCAATTTTTCTCAAATAAAGACGTCAGTTTCAAAATTGTGTTCGGCTTTTTTTAAATTTTGGATATTTTAAAAATAAAGAGCAATTCACTCAAACAACTCAGAAATATATTGCAGTCGTCAAAGAAATCGCCATATCAGCGGAATGACGAAATAAACAAAAATTTCCGAACACAATTTTTTAGAACAACTATTTTACTGTATAAAAATGATATTTTCATAAATATAACTTAAAACCAGCAGGAGCACAACTCAAAACCGTAACGGTACCACGATTTAAGATTTTCCTGAATAATTCTTACATTATTTTATTGTTTGTTAATTTTACAACTTTGCCATATATTGCATGCACTGGAGAACATCTGGTGAAAATTTGATGAAAATCGGACTGATATTGAGCGCGCAGTAGCGATTTTCCACGAAACGCCAAAAAGGGTGTCCTGTAACCTTAAAAGACGCAGCTGAACCTGATCCAGTCGAATGCTTACTAAGCACGCCCCTGGCAGCAACCTTGCTATTCATGTCTGATTACGGAGCACATCAGCGGCGGAACGGTCTGTTTACTCAAAGGATATCCCAACCAACCATGTCAACAGTACCCGGAAAGAACACACGATTTTTGCTGCAGCGTTGACTCTTTTCAGAGAAGTGTTCTGAGTCCACAGCGGGGAGATTCTATCTAGAGGTGTTTGCGCTACTAGTTCCCCAGTTGAGGTAAATCGTGTTTTTTTTCTTCAAACATACCACTTATGTTTAATATTTTACTTTAAAATGCTCAAAACAGTACTCTTGTTGGAGCTAAATGTAATTGTAATGTTGTGACCTCGATATATAGTTCTATAATCTGATTTCGATAAATTCAATAAACAGAACAACGGCTCATGCAAGAGATTGTAGATCTCATTCGTATTCTGGCAGCAGATGCAAAGGGAGCTGCAAAGACGTTGCGCAAATTTAGTAAATCTGAGATAGTAAAATAAAAGGAAGCTGTCGATTAACATACACGCCACTGGCTAGGCTAGAAATCCAAATTCAATGTTGCGCAAGCCCTTGTGTTCAGAAAAACTCACCCTTCAGAGATGAATTCATAATGAGGTGTATCAAATGGCTTGGTAGTCGGTGTCGCCCGGCATGTTTCGGCTCTTACAACGATATCCCCGTTCCGGGTGCTGACACCATACTCAATGTGGATACGGTCTTCAAAACTTTTAAAAGCTGGATACTGCTCGGATGTGGACGAAAGGAAACCGTCATCGGCGTACGAACCCATCACAACGGTAAAGTTTCCCAAATTACCTAAAATGAATATTCCAAAAGTCAGCTACCGACAATAAACAATCAAAAGAAAGTAGATTTGTTTATTTAAAACCAAACATTTTTTAGGATATAATATATCGTTTATCTTTTTTATGTGTGATTCTTATCTTTTAGGTTACTTTGGTAAGACAGCTAGGATTTATATTTTCAATTGATAAGATATCTTCTGTCAAGAAATTTCAAGGACCTTGCTTGATTTGTGGGCCCCTTTTGAGCTGGGTGCAAAGTTCTCCACTACCGCCCTCCCCCTCTCTGCGGCCCTGCTGCCGTTAAATTTTGGGGTAAATTTGAATACCTATATAGGCCTTAACAACCTAATTTATAGCTCCAGATGCGAAGTCAAGAGAAATTAATACAACTAATACAATTAATTAGTTTTGAAACAGATTTGGTTTTGATATGTTTTAGTCATATTTTCCAGCCAAACCGACAATACATGCAGTCTTTCAAATAGTCGGTATAAAACATAGACATTTTTACATGTATATAAACAATCGCACACTTTCAGCTCGTGCAGTCGTGCTTCACTGATGTTACTTACTTTTTTTAATTTTGACTTCCTGCTTTGGAGGCGTAAATTTAAAACCACTGACAGTTACTAACCGGCTATATGCACATCTGAAATTAAACAGGAATGATTGTTTCCTAGTAATGACTGGCCCGGGTGCGATTGGAGCAGCTACTGTCAACACATTGCTATAATACATTTCTTGTTCTGTTTCAGAATAGTTCGTTCCACAATCATTCAATTTCGTCTTCACAAACACATGTGTTTGATTGTAACTTGCTTTACACAAACCGTCCTCAAGATAAATGTTGTCAATGTCCAAAGATATTACTTCGGACCTTTCAACCACAACTTCAATAAAATCTTTATCGCAGATCACAAGATATGAGCTTCCTGGAAAAAATATATTCCGTTAATATTAGGTCCATTGCAGAACGATAAAATAAAGCCAAGTGAATCAGTCCCTGCAGTTTGATATGATACATAGATTATTACATTACATTATTATCATTGCTTTCCTATAGCTATGTTTATCCCAACCCACCCTGCCAACGGGCACCTATGGGAGGAAACAGGGGCGCCGGGAGAAAACCCACGATTTTCGGCAGAGCGTTGACAGACTCTTTTTACATGTATGAGCTGTATTGCGTGAATCAAACTCAGGATCTCAGAGGTGAAAGGTGCTTACTATAACAACTGCGTCACATACTGTGCGGACGAAGAGAACAAAGGGATTTTCAATTTCAGGAGAATAAAAACAATTTACGCAGTCGCAATGCAAATGACCCATTAGAATTTGATTGGTTTATTTTAGTGCAGTAAATCTCAAACAGCAGTGTAGGCTAAATTTTTGCAATTTTGCTTTCCGTATATTGATATTTTGTAATTTTGCATTCCTATATGAACAATAAAAGATTTAAATGTAGACTATTTGATATGTATAAATTTAATCGCAATGAGTCTATAACACCCTTAATCTAACACACTACATACAGTAGGTACATATATTTTGAAAGACATAAGAGATTGCTATATACAAGTCCAAAAACCCTAATTAATTGGCACATTTGGCAATGCGTAGTACATATCACAAGGTAAATTGAAAAGGTTAGACTGCAGCATTGAATACACTCCCAGCGAATTCCTCGCAGGGAACAAAATAGCTTAACACTCTGTGGCCATTGCGTTGCTAAGTTTGTGAAAATCACATTATTAGTAGTATTTCTGTATGTTCAGCTACTATTTTATTCGTTTTCCTCTACTAGCAACTACTCGTCTCGAAAGGATTGCAATAGTCCAATCGATTAATTCGCTTGAGATATTTTTAAAGGATGTTAAAACACGCAACTATTTCGTACATAATATTTATGTATTTGCCTATGGTGACCAATCTTGCATGCATTTTAATTTATTTGTTCTTTGTCATCTCTACAGATTCTTGTCTTGGCTCATCTCCACAGTCTTCGTGAAAAATATTGCCACACTTTACATCACTGTGTTGAATTGGACATTCACCGTAATTAAAAAGCATATTTATATACCCTAACTCCGTACAAAAACGTTGTGTGTAGGGCGTTCGAAATGTTATGCAACATTGTAAGGTGGAAAAGGTGGGGGGGGGGGGCGGCTATGAACATAAAATTGCGAATACAAGGGCACATAAATATGTACGTGCATTCAAGAAATCAGCTACAGTATCAATCACTAAACGCGCAAAAGGACTTTTTGACTAGCACTGCATGCATAACTGGCAATTGACATCAACAAAATTCATTCCAGAAAATCACAATCATTTATTAGTATAAATTTTGTATATCAATTGAGCTTTCGCGCATTCTGATTGGCTAGTTGACTAGAAAATCTGAGACATTATTTACCACCTGTAGTAATTGATGTTTTTCAAAAAGCATGATTCGGCAAATTTGGTTTCAAAATCGACAAAATATTGCAAAAATCGTCCCCAGAAAACGAAAGAAGTACAAAATGTTGTATTTAACTTGAAAACTAGGATTCCTTTATTATTTTACTGTGTCGAACATATTCACGGTCAATTTAAAACTTATTTAAAACTCCGAAACATTCACTTCAAACAAATAGCAACTATTCCCGACTTTTGGAAAAACCTTGCCGTGATTTTATTCTTTAAAATCCATTTTATTTTGTATGCTATAGATTTCGAATTCCCAATTTGTACGCGGATACTATTTCTTTTGATATGTCATGTTTTCATTGTGCTGTATGGTGTTCTGACCGCTGAATTGTGTTTTCGAAACTTGTAAAGTTATATAAAAAGTGTTATTAAAACTTTATTTCGAACGATATAGTTTTGCATTCCATTTTACCAAATTCCTCAGCCATTTCCTGAAGAAATTAATGCTAAACAGTCTGGTGAAAGAGTCCGTTGTTGTTTATATTCCAAGCAGATTTCGAGAGAAACAACTTTGTATAATAAAGCAATAATGTCACACAAGAAGCCATTTTGAAAGCGCGTGCGTACAAGAAACACTGCAACACTATTAGTGAATAGGCCGAAAACTGTTTTATTTCTGAAATTTAATTGAATTCATTTTCGGATATTTTGTTTTATTCATTAAAAATTTATACTAAAACAATTATTCGCCTCAGGCTCAGTGATTACGGTGAATATTCACCTCGACTTCGTCTCGGCGAATATTTACCGGTAATCACTTCGCCTTCGGCGAATAATTGTTAATTGTCAGTTAGCACAAAGCATACCTTAAATGTTATCAACCTTACCACTTCCATTTATGGATCTTTTAATACGAGTTTTCATCACTTGTTGCCCGTCAAGCGCAGACAGCTCATTATTTGATTTATCTTCCAGGCCAGGTTTTCCTTTATTTTCCTCTATTTAAGAAGCAAAATCTCAAAATCAAATATTTCTGATTTATATGCATGCTATTTTATTAACATGAAAAATTTCGGCCGTACAATTTGTATATATAAATTTTACAAGAATATAGAATGAATGAATTCATACCTATTAATTTTCCCTTCTCCCATGATTTTTCCAATGAAAATTTGTCCTTCCTGTCAACGCCATCAGCTTCAATTCCATAAAGACCTACAAATGAAAATCGAAGATATTTCAAGACCATTAAAATTGACATTCTGAACTAGAAATACATGCATGGCGACACCCCTCACCTGGCTAGTAACCCTATACTTTCCAGACATGAAGTATTTAAATATGCATGAATATGAATCCATCTCAATCCGAAGGGATTCTGCGTGCATGTATTCCAAACACTTATGTATTTCTGTATGCATGTATTTTGAATCCCGCCGCGGCTTTCTAGCTGGTGTAATATTATCAAGTATGTACCTACGCTGGTATTATTACTACTTCAAATACTTCATGTTTTAAACATATGACGGTTTTGCTAGGAAGGCGAGGTGATTCTTCATGCATGCATTTCTAAACCACTATATTTCTAAACATGTATTTGTGCATGCATCTATTTTGAATTCCTCTCGATCCGCATGCAGCGTTATAGTGTTATTATCAATTAGCTATACCATGACACAAACAGTTATGTTGTAAAAGAAACTACTCACCTGTTGCAGATAGCCTCTGAAACTGTATCACCTGAAAATGAAAGATGAAGCAACCGTTACTTGAAATGCAAAAACCGTTACTTACGATACAAAACACCGGAGTTTACAATCTATGAGCAGGGATGTATATTTGAAAACAGCTGTAGATGCCGAGGTGCTAGGTGGGGAGAATCAACTACAAAAGATAAGTATTCAAAGACCATTGTGCTGTGATAATTCGCCGTTGGAAGATGTGAACAAAAAGCTCTCGCAAAATGCCAAAAATGTGTTTAAACGTAAGCCCGCGGATCAAAGGAGAATTGTCAGTCGCGCGACCTTGTCCCTGGTAAGCTGTTCCACCCTTAACGCCTGCTTGTATTCTAAAAGCTCACTCACACTCAAAGAGTGCAGGTTCAATTTCAGCTTCCCTTGAGTGTCAGTGGTGCTTTTAAATAGCTGGAGGATTAGTCTCGCACCTTACTACGTGACTACTCACCCTCCAACTATTCAAAAGCAGCAATGACACTCAAGGGATTCACAGATTGAACTTCCACTCTTTGAGAGACAGTTGTGCTTTGACAATACAGTTGGAAAACTCACTAAATTAAACCTTTATTTTTTCAATCTACAGCTTGAAATGTCCTCAGTAACAAAATGCGTGACTATTAGTCTCATCAATATTCTCGTTTGATCTGGGCTTGATGCTAGCGCTTGAAGATATTTAACTGAAATTAAATATTGACAAAAATGCTGGCCCTAATAAGTTTATTATAATCTAGAAAAACTAGCACCATAAAAACTTACTAAAAGTAGAGCCAAAGCTCTTTTACAACTCTCTCGTAACATTCTAGCATCAGAGTGGCGCCTTTAATCTGCACACAACTCGACCAAACATCATCTTTTCAACTGTCAAGGTTGTGTCCTAGTTTTTATTTTGATTTCAAGATAAAATAGACCCCGTAACAACGCAATGAATATAAAATACTGAAAAATATTTTGATCCCCACATATATACGTATTTCTAATCATGCATATCATATGACATAGAAACGATATTTGCAATATTCTTATCAATATTTGAAAAGACAAGATTCGTTTTAAAACACCTGATTTAGATCTTATTTCAAGAAAGAAATTGTCAATTCTAGTATGAACAAATTATATGGGCTCACAGATGGAAAGCTTTGCAATAATTAACAGTTATTCTACGAACTCGAGTCGAATATGAGTTGATAGCCGAATCGGCTATCGCTCATATTCGACGAGAGTGAGTGGAATAACTGTTTTATTATATACACAAGGTCTGAATTCACCGACTTTGCTTTTCGGATATTTTCAATATTTTTCTATTTTGTTTATGTTTTTTTCTTCGCCGTCTTTCGGCGGATTATTTCTTCAAAAATATATATTTTTAACCATTTTAAATATTAAAAATTCATTTGTTGACCTGTAAACAATTTGTGCGAGTTTTTTCATTGTGTTTTTACTCCTGCTAAGGCTATAAAAGCGAACAACTTGCTTTTTTCTCGTTCGCAAAAATCGGAAATTCAGTTTGAGCCGCCATTTTGTTTTTCTCTACTAGTAGGATATGAGCTAATATCCAGCTAGTAGAGAACCAATCAGATTGCAGAATACCTCATATCCAGACCTTGTGTATATAATAATGAGTATATATATATATACGTGGTGATAATCTAGTTTTGATAGTGCTACTTTAACTGGTGCTTAGGAAATGGAATTCAAGGGCGGGCCCTCTTTTAATGACCTTGGAGATTGCAAGGGTCTTCCCCTGCTCCGCTAAAAATCAGTTAGCCATGGCAACAGGTGATGCTAAGCTAATAAATCTGCGGTTTGAATAATGCAAATCTTTAAAAAAATTCACAGGTCGACCTGTTGCCATGGCTAGCAGCTGGCACTGATACCTGTGTTTTTAAGCAAACAGGTGCATTACTAAAAAAATAGATATGATTGTACATACACGACTGACAAAACAAGATAAAAAGATGACATCTAATTATGTTTTGGCTATATTGTCTTTTAATTGATTTAATTAGATTTGCCAATGGTAAATAATAAAATTGATGGCCCTCTGCCTCATATGTAGAAGTTGATTCATAAATGAACGTTGCTAATTTTATCCAAGCGTTGGGAGTGGGAAGGAAGTTTTTCCTTACAATTTAATATTCCTAACTTTCAATTTCATTTTCCTTTCTCAAAAATCCTAAACTTGGAAGGGGGTTGATATTCTGATTCATTCCCATTTTGATTTCGAATATATTCCTAGTCCTACTCTTAGTATTCATATTTCTACCATCATGCATTATTCATATTCGGAGAACTTCAAAACCCTGTATTCAATATTCCCAATAGGATCTATGAAACACACAAAGAAGTATATTGACATAACTAGTGGAGTTTGTCTGGCTAGGGTTGCAAAGATTACATACATGTAAATTTACGGTAGCTCCAGAGTGACAGAAAGACATGCGTAGGAATTTGATAGACCATAGGTCGAGTATATGCTGATATGAATATTTGGAATGTTTACTGCTGGCATCTAGCTTTCTCAGACTGAATTGTAATTTCAGACTGCAAGCAGGCTACTGCATGGCACCCAATTGTTGCTTTCTGTTTGGGTTGTTAGCAAATTACAGTATACATAAATGGAAGAACTTTTTTGGAAGCAAAGGTGACTTGTGGTCTTTGCGTCGTCCAGTTACCATACCCCCACTATAAACTAATTCTTAAACCTACATAATTTTACGTAACAAGGTAGCACAATCGCATGCACAATTCTTCAAATTTTAAATTAAACAACAAATTAACGCTTCGCAAAACATTTTAAAATACTCAGAATACTAAGGTCGCGTTTACACTGCACTTTTGGATCGATCTCAGATCGATCTTCAATAAAGCGGTCCTAGTCTGAATGGTAAGGAAAAAACTGAGATCAATCTCAGATCGATCTAGTCCAGTCGGATCGATCTGATTGAGGTCGATCCTGCCTTTTTCTGAATGCGAACGTAAAAGATGCTGGAGATCGATCGAAATTCGTTCTCGGGCCTTTTTTGTCTCGGCAAAAAATCAGGCGATTGTAATTCGCAGGCTAGAATACGAGCTTTCGTGCCAATTTTATTATCAGTTTACGTTGGTATAAATAAAGAAATGGTTGCTAAAAAGGGAGAAATTTGGTCAGAAAAAGAGTGTCTCGCACTTCTCTCTGCATGGGGCGATAAGGAAATACAAAAAAGTTTCGTGGAGCTATCAAAAACTCCGATGTTTACAAAAGTCCGGAGGCTTTGATCGCGACTAGATTCAGTGTAGAACGAAAGTGCAGAGTTGCAAAACCTGTTCAAATTGCCTTCGGGTAAAATTTAAAGTTTTCACACATTCTACAAGGTAAATTGAATAAATACTAAAATATGGTTTTATCAAATAGCAATATACAGTATATAAACTTATTAACTGATTCTGAAAGCATAAAATTCGATGCTTCTAATATATAATTTGCTGTAATAGATTTATAATTTGGACAAATTGGACAGCCCTTACCTACTACGTCTATACATCCTATATGATATATTGAATATAAAAGAATATAAAAAATCAAGTCATGGACTCAAGATAATATTTACCTATACTAACTGCATTATAAACTTTATAAGTAATAACCTAGATAACTAACAAGTTTAAGCAACGATAGATTCTGAATCTGTAATAAACGATATACTGAATCTGTAATATTTAACACGATAGTTTATGAATCTGTAATAAAAAGCACATCGGTACACGCGTAAGAATAGGCAATTCCCGCTTTTAATTTATGTCCGCAGGGTTCGCATACTAAGTTTCACACGTCAACGGAACCGTTTTTCGCACAGAGTAAGGTGTGGCTTTTTTGTCGTAACCCATATTCTTATAAATGATCTCACCCACAAAATCTCTCGTGTTTCGCGAAAATGTAAACTCATCACACGTGCTGCTAACATTATTTTGTTAATTAGCTATTTTTTCTTTATCAATGTGTATCTAGGGGGGGGGTGGTAGTCAAAGTAGTTGGGGGGTGGGAGGTGTGTGACAAAAAGGGAAGTGGTTGTTTGAGGGATGTATAGCTAAAAGCTGCATGGCATTAGAGATAAAGACAAGTAGGTGATTGATCGGTTTCGCCGTTCCTATGGATATTATATATTTCTGATAATATAATGTTAGACATTTATATAAAACTTTCAATAAAGAGCTTAGAAATTTCTAATTCGGGTACTTTAAAACGAAACGACTCAAAGTTTTTGCTGGCGTATAACCAACAGATCTTTCAGATGAGACAGTTAAACTCGTTCTTAAAGCAAATGGATTCAAATACATTCATTCACGTAAAAAGGGAGTGAAAAGGATTTGATATAATTGGGCTCAAGTTTGCAAAGCAAGTTCGCGACACATTAAATCAAATGTGTGGACAAAAACACGTTTATTTGGACGCAGTTGGCTTCGCTCATGAATATAACCCTCATGATTAGTCGATGGCACATAGAACGATGGCCTGGCGGAATTAGAATTATATACCTAATAATTTTACAAATTGCAACTTTTATTATGCGCGGCAAAAATAACCATTTTTGAGCGGAAAGTGGTTATTTTTACTGCACGTAAATACAAAATTTGCGAACTTCACATGCAGGGCTATATTTTCTTCATTTTACAACATTTTGCAAACAAAATTTGCACTTTTACTCATTATAAGATGCTCTTTCCAGGTGCGGTGTTGGATTTCATTCTTCTTGTTTGTATCAAAATTTCGTCCATAGCTGGAATCACCAATTAATGGAAGCATTTAAGTTTTCCGTGCGTGTATGCATTGTACCATATGAATAATGGCTGCAAAACGTTTCCATGTTTACAAGTTGAAATTGCCAGTAATTCGTTACTGATTTTGTGTTGACATGTATTTGATATTCTTATTCGCTTGTACGGTGGTAAACATTAAAGTTTTGAAAAAATAATTATATAAGAAAAAATTTAAACACAAATGATAAACCCGTATTCGTCTTGTAATTTGCTGGCGTGTTATGGCGTATAATTTATTGCAGAGCGACATAAGTGTGAAAATATAACGTCATAAAAGTGCTTTCTCTTTACCGCATAAACAGCGGGTGTTAACCAGACACGCAAAAGCTAGGTTCAAACGCTCCTATAGTACAAGCAACTAATCTGTGTGGAGTGTCTTGTTTCTCGAGCTTCCTCGCTAAATTATGTATTCTCAAAAGTATCAAGTAAATAAAGTGAATCATTACCTTATCTTCCTCAGTTCAACAGGTACTCGAAAATTCGTACTTATTGAATGCGCGCACAGGTACGTTTATCCCCCGATGCGTGTTTTATCCGCCCATCCGTGTTTTATCCCCCCATCCGTGTTTTATCCCCTCATCCGCGTTTTATCCCCCATCTTTGCCGTCCGTATACATCCGACGCGCGTTTTATCCCTACCCGACTGTTGTTATTACATAATTAAATGGACTTAACGGGGCGAAAACATTTTATCCATTTCATAATTTTGAATAATGAAAGTTTATGAAATTATTTCAGAAAAGCCGGTCACCGCGGCCGGCTGATATATACCGGCTGATATATATATATATATATATATATATATATATATATATATATATATATATATATATATATATATATATATATATATATATATATATATATACATATATATATATATATATATATATATATATATATATATATATATATATATATATATATATATATATATATATATATATATATATATATATTCCAATACATTTTCTACTATACATTTTCCAATTAAAAGCATTGCCATATCATGCAATCAATTTTAAAATTAATTTTATAGCGTATTTAAAGTGCTGTGTAAATATAATTTTTATATTGTTTTAATTAAAGGACACTGTTTGGTTGTCCAAACACATGCAGATTTGAGGAAATATGCAATGAAAATTGTCATTTTTCTTGGTTAATTTATCATTGGTCATAATCACAAGGGTCCAAGAAAATTTCCGGTGAATTTATTTTCCGCGGCAAGTCCACAAAATTAAATATTGTAAATATAAATTTAAATAACACTGATATAATTGTTGTAATTAAAGATACTTTTTTGTCGGTTTATAAAAATATGTTTAATCGCTTCAGACATCCCGGGTATATATTCATGCATTTGTTTCAGTATTAATGAAAAAAGGATTATTTGTATCAATTTATTAAGTATAATTGGGGCAAATATTAAAAATTTCAGTTATAAAAGACGGACATCTCAAAGCGTGTATATAGATGAAACTTAATCTTCTTGTGCAAAACAGTTATGAAGCTAAGCAAATTTTATTTCGTATGTTTTGTGGTGGTGTATATTTTACATCCGGTAACATGTCTGCCACAGCAGTGGCGATTCGGACTTGGCCATGCCATGGTATGTAACAATCTTTAAATATCTAAGACTGACGTTGCATGCATGCTTTTTATAGGATGAATACCAGAAAGAGAGATATCTCGTTAAAATATAAGAAATAAACAAAATGTTATTCATTGTTTTCATCCTTGTTGCAACCTTTTGGTTTAGTGAATCTTTAAAGATTTTGATTAAAGGAACTTGTGTTTGAAATTTCGAAGGAACTCGTTTTTGAAAACTATTTGAATCTATTACCAGGAAGAAGAAAGGATCTCGTCAGTCTTGTGATTTTAAGTTAGTAGTATAGCCTGACAATAATATTGTCCTATTTTCATTCTTGTCTCAAGAGTGACAGATGTACGTTCGAACAACCATGCACAGGGCCATCTGACTGCTCGTGTGGCACCATGCCTTTAATGTGCACAAAAGAACCTCCAAAGAGATGTGTTATCCATTTCGTTGGCATACCGGGACCTCCTCCACCGCCAACATTGGAACCACCCAAAAAAAACACCGAAAAGCCAAGAAAGAAAGAGAAAAAAGCACGGAAACAATGCCGAAAAGGACAAGGAAACAATGGAAAGTAGAAAGAAAACAACAGTGAAACCAAAGCAAGTCAAGCAATTAGTTCTAAAAACGGTTTCGATAATGCTACAATTATTATTAGTATAATTTTTCAGTAGTCGCACCTAACAGTAGAACCATATTAACAAGTAAGGATGTATGCATAATAAAAGAAACCACGGTGTCCATTATTTCATTTACTGAGCAGCGAATTATTTTGAGTCTTATTCCAGATGCCATGGAGAAGCTCATGCGATACGGGTCTGTGCACCATTATATGATCTAAATTTTAGCATATTATTACATTGAGATTGAAGCACATATAATATTTTAGTAAATCATGTTTACGAATTTCACTAATTGAAAAATAGATGCATCCTTTGTCGTTGAATACATGCGTGCATAGAGATTTCATCTCTTTTCGTTCATGGCCATGCATATTATGCTGCATGCATATGGTGATAAGAATTTGCCGCTATTATAAGCGCGGAGCGCCTATGTGCGGGTAAAACGTTTCTTTGCCGCCATAAGTTATGAAATCCAATTGCAATTCCGATTTCCAATTCTGCTAACATATAAAATCACATTCATCCCCCTCCTTCTCCTGTTTAATGTCATGAAATTATCCTATTTTAGCTTCCTTTTTTATTCATTTTTTCTGTCATTCTTTGGTAAAATGATTTTATACAGTGATATAATATAGAGTATTTTATCCCTTTTTCGCCAGATTTTCTCGAGAATTACTACAAATTTTTCGTTTTTCTAATCATTAAAACATAACTTGCTCAATAAAAACCCTCGGCCATTTTCGTCTGCATGGCAGATAACTAATTTAATTTTTTCACCAAATTTCCACGATAGCTATAATACCATGCCAAACAAACCAAGATATAAACAGAGTCACAGAGCACAACACAGTGAGTAGTTCAGTGCATAATGATAGATTAAACTGCATAACCGCAGCAGATATTGAAACAAATTCAAAATTAGGACCCTTAATTGCCAGGAAGCTAAAACCTTGTCAATAAAATTCAATTATTTTAAGCGTTAACTTTATTCGAGCTTGATTCGTGGCAAGCTGCCAATTTCCGATCAGTTGATTTCAAGTTGATTGACCAATCAAAAAGCTTTTATTACGTTAGCAGAAAATAAAATTTCATCAGAAATATTTGCATTTGGATATTAAAATTTTATAGAGCAATTTTTTCATACAGACTTGGCCCCGTCATGTCGAGTTATTGAACAGACATGAAATTGGGAGAGCATTCAATCACTATAGAGGTGTTCTGAGATAGTGCATAGACCAACACTTCCCATCTTTCCGTGTCCATGCGCGATAACTCAATTGCATGAGCACGCCAAATCATGAGAATATTCATAATTCCTTATTCCTGTTGAATGAAGAGAAACTGCCTGTCTATGCAGATAGGATTTGAATGTTAATGATATTGCACGAGATGTGGAATGTTAAAAATAAAACGAAATAATCATCCTTATCAAACAAGATAATCATCCTTACAAGTATAGAAAACGTAAAGTATAAATATATTGTAAGAATTTTTACATGAATAAATTTTATTTAACTTCAATTTTAATTGTTCGGCACACGCATCAAAATTAATTGGATTGTACCTGGAGGAAAGTTTTAATAACTAACAGATCGGTGCACTTGCAACAATGCAGTTCTTGCTGGTGGCCATTTTATAATCCGAGTATTAAGAATCGTTGTTTCTTTAATCTGATTATGGTTATTTGTTGCCATGGCGGTACGAAAAAAGCGGGGGATGGGAGGGGGGGGGGGGGGAGAGGGGAGGAATTTAACTTACTAATTTTATGTTATAATAAATTATTAAGCCAAATCGCGGTTATAATCGTGTGAATCAGAATGTATGATTCTGTAATGATTCTGTATGCATATGAGACAGCCACAAAACCTTAATACGTCTAACTGATATGGCATTGACATTGGGGTTTGACATAATGAATGCATTCACATTGGGGTTCTTATTTCAGTATAGGTTACTGTTCCCGTTGCGAAAATCCTGTGTATACGGCTCTGTTTGTCGCTGTTCCCAATCCATAAAATAAAACAATAGCATACAGTGTATATACTGTATGTACGCAAAGTATGATCCTGCACAAAACTATTCATTTCAGAAGCAACCTGTAGGTTTCTTTAGACATTACCGATGAAAATATTCTTGTTAAGAATTTTAACCTGTTCTTGGTAAGTGCATGAATTACTAAAAACATTCTCACCAAACGGACAAGTAAAATTTTTCTTGTTTTAAGTGATAATGAAATTAAAATAAGTAATTAATTTCTGAAAATAAGAACATGCATTTTCTGAATAAATTTACTTATACGAGAACTCGTTTCGCAATGCACATTAGCCAATCAAAAAAGCGAAACAACAATATTAATTTGAATACCGAATGGCAATTTAAACAACCTTCCCGATTTTAAGTCGGTTCTTTACAAAAAAGAATAATCTAAACAACGACAGGGATAATTGGTAAAGTCCCCATAGAAAATGACCAGGTTGATTATTCAATGAACTAACAATTTCGCATAAGATCTCATATCAACTGAACATAACCTTGAATCACCGCGCAATCAACATGAAAGAAGCGCTATTTCCCATTTCAGCGTATACGATCATTTTTCTGTTGTTAGCCCCTGTGCATCCACAAGTATATATATTTGTATACATTGTTCACTATTGCTTATCCCTGTTCACCACTACTCGCAACGCGTATTTTTACCATTCAGAACTTTTGATAAAATTATTGCTTTACTCTTGTATAGACGCATAACTATACAAAATCCTCTATGCAAATTCTGAAACATATCTGAGAAAAAAAATTAAAACAAAACATTGGATATAATGTATACCTTTAATTTTGCTGAACACAACGAATCTCTATTGAAAGAATAATCAAGATGTTCTTGAATTATCAACTACTTACATAATTAGATTAAACAAGACGAAGAATATAATGAAAAGATGACCATATATGGTAACATTAAAATGTGCATTGCAAGATGCGTCATGTAATTTTAAGCCGAAAGTTTTATTTCGACATAACCATGGCCACGGCCAAGAAATCCTTCAATTTTCAGTTGATTCTTCCCACTATTGAAAGATCCGCCTCCTCCTCCACATGAACCCTGGTTAGTATCACCGGATGCTCCTCCAGAATATCCTCCTCCTCCTCCGGCGCCTCCTCCAGCTCCGTACGCACCGCCACCTCCCCCAAATCCTCCGACAACATTATATAGCCTCGCACGACCACCTGCTCCACCTTGAACAAATCCTCTTCCTCCTTCTCCTCCATCTCCATAAGCTCCACCAAAGTGTTTACTGCTGCGTCCATTGCTATAGAATCCACCACCACCTATAAGTATGTAGCGTCATAATAAAAATATTTTTGGTGAGCGAGTTTCAATGAAAGTTTGCATATTAAAATTTTCTAATTATATTTTAATTGGTTTTCTAAACGGAACTTTATATTTTCTTCTAAACAGAACGATTAATTTTATTGACAAAGCATTCTAATCGCATGCCCGTACCTGCATAAGTGCAAAAAATATAATCATAAAATGAACCATTTTCACGCGCCCGCGATCATTGAGGAACTTTAGACTTCGCTAATGCGTTTCTTTCCCCGGGTGTATATAGACGAGCGAAATTAGTACCCTCGCCCCGGGCTAACGCCCAGCTCGGGGATTATTTAAGATAATTGAAACAAAACTAGACTTGTAGTTAAGACATTAATAAAAAGTTTTCAAACATTTAAGATATAAAAAGAAACATAATTTAAATTAAAAATTATCATTTAAACCGGGAAGGCGTGTGAACATTTCTTGAAAAACTGTCGAATACCGAATTTAAGACACAAAAGTTAAGAAAACTATCGATAACTGTACTTTCCCTATGTCGCTCTATGATTTTTGACCGGTTGGGCTCTATCTTGGATTTTCAAATTTGGCGCGCCTCTTCAGCCGAGTCAGCAATCTAGGTCTCCTATATCTATGGTTCAGCTGCTAAGCATTAGCAAAGTCTAAATTTATCAATGATTGCGGGCGTGGGATACCGTGCGTTTTTTGTGTGGGTGGTCATCCTCACTGCGGATTGCCATGAATATTGCTTTAAAAGCTGGTCTATCGATAAAGGCAGGTTACAGTTTTATAAATAGAGTCCTTAAGCTTGACGTTTACGGCAAACCTCAAACCGCTAACGAAGTTTTTGATTTTACAAGTATATTGTAACCGCTTTTCATCAGTTTTGAAAGATATTAAACAATTATTAAACTAAGTCTGGTGGTAATTAGCAATGATTTAAGAAAGCAAATTAACGACTAGTCATGCATTCCCCAAAGCAGTAAATCAAGATTTCGCGTTTCAAGTTGACGTTTGGCGCCGGTATAAATTTCATGCTGCAACGACTACAAGGCCTCGTAGCAGTCCAAGTATGAAATTTTATAATATATATATTAAGGTCTCTAATAATATTTTAAATCGATTTGGGAAGCGTTTGTTGTTGAATTTTACCTTAAATTTAAGATTATATTACGTATAATAATATACGTAATATTGAACAATATTCTAAATTGATAAAGATTGAACAATAGATTGAACAATATTTATTGAATAATAACATACGTAATATTGAACAATATTCCAGATTGAACAATATTCTAGACCTTGTCTTAACAACTACTCCTGAAAACATTGTCAACCTTTCGTGCATCTCACCACCTACAATAGATATCTCGAATGACCACCATCTTTTATTCTTTGACATTTTACATAATTTAAAGTCAACTGGATACGACAAAAGAACTGTATTCGACTTTCACCTCCCTGACTGGGATTCTCTGCATGAGTCACTAAACCATCTTGATCTTTCCCCTGACACCACCTCTGACAATATCAATGCTGATTTCAGTGATTTGCTACAATGGAAAGGCTTATTCTCGGTGCGGCTGCTAACACATTCCACAAAAGTCATTTAAAAGACGTGGCACTCCCCCCTGGTTTGACGGTGAAGTAAAACATGTACTCAATCAAAGAAAACTGGTTCCGACGAAATGCTAAGCGTAGGTTGTGCTCCAAGCTTTGGGAAAAGTATCGAGAGTTACGACGAGTAACAAAATACGTCATCACCAACAAACAGAAACAGTCTTTTGAATCCATGACCGCCTTATTGAAGTCAAGTAGCAAGAAGTTTTGGTCAGTGTTTAAGTCCGTTCATAAGACCTCAAGCGTTCCCAACAAAATGACTTGGTCTGATCATGATGGAGTAACCTATACAGCCAACAACCCAGCCGACATCGCCAATCTACTAAATCGCTATTTCTGCTTCGTTTTCCAACCTTCTCATAGTAATAATGATGAACATACACTTTCCAACTCGAAAGACGACTCCATCACTAAATCGGATGCAATCTCCAACATCACGCTAACATCCGAGGAGGTCTACTACGTTCTTGCAGCTCTTGATGAAAACAAAGCGACTGGACCGGAGAAAATTCCTGCCAAATTGTTGAAGATCTGTACATCGAGCGTTTGTTCGTCTTTATGTGACTTATTCAACAAAAGCTTGTCCATAGGTAAACTACCGTGCGAGTGGAAACTTTCAAACATAATTCCAATTCCCAAGAAAGGCCCTGCTAACAAAGTATCAAATTACAGACCAATATTTCTCTTGTCTTTGGTCTTTAAAGTTTTTGAACGTTGCGTCTATAACCAACTTATATATCATGTCTCCAGTCAACTTCACCATCTACAATTTGGTTTTCTCGAAGGCAAGTCTACCACCTCTCAGCTTCTGCGCGTTCTTCATGATATAAATAAGTCGTTAGAAAACCGAAGCCAAGTCGACTCGGTTTACCTGGACTTCGCAAAAGCATTTGATAAGGTCAGCCATAACCTTCTGTTAGTTAAACTCCAGAGGTTTGGAATATAAGGTGATCTTCTGCTATGGTTCAAAGACTACCTCTCAGGACGCTACCAAAGAGTAACAGTTCTCGGTGAGTCGTCCCATACACTCCCTGTTCTATCTGGAGTTTCCCCAAGGTTCAATTTTAGGACCCCTACTGTTTCTGGTATTTGTGAACGGTCTTCCTGATTTAATTTCAACCCAATCGTCTGTGGCTATGTTCGCCGACGACACGAGGTGTTACCGTCCCGTGAACAAGTTAGCTGACTGCGAAAGTCTGCAAAATGATCTAAATAAACTTGTGACATGGTGCAACGATTGGAGGATGGACTTGAATCAATCCAAGTGCGGGGTTCTTAGCATTACTAGAAGTCGTCAACCAATCATTGCAGAATATCAGCTTATTGATACTTCGCTTAAGTTATTAATTACCCAGAAAGATCTCGGGATCATTATTTCCAACGACCTGAAATGGAACAAGCAAGTTCATGGCACGGTATTAAAGGCAAACATGATGCTTGGCTTCATCCGACGATCAGCCTCTGACATCAACAACATCCAAGCCCGCAAGATTCTTTATCTGTCTTTGGTTAGAAGCAAATTGGGGTATGCCAGTCAAGTGTGGGCACCCCAAACAGTAACTAACATCGCTACAATGGAAGCGTCCAACACCGTACCACCAAATTAATCCTTTCCCTCCCTTATAGATCAGACGTTTTGTACAAAGACCGTCTCCAGTCTATCGGTATTCTTCCAATCTGCTATTGGCTCGAGTTTCTTGAAAGCAGTGGCGTGCTGCGTAATATTTTTCTGGAGGGGCCACTGGGCTGTCAACCAATATGCGCCCCTATAATGTTACGCTTGATAAACGAGGGCAGAAGGCACGAGCCGACCGCCGCATGTGCGAGGTTTGTCTAGGGGGGTCCAGGGGCATGCCCCCCCAGAAAAATTTTTGAATTTAGAGTCTCTGAAATGCCATTTCCTGGACTTAGGGGAAAGATTTGACAGAAATCTGATGGTCAGGAAACGGCATTATAACGTGTCGAAATTTGCAATTTGGTTAGATTTTAGTAGTAGTACTTAAATTATGCAATGCTAAGTCTTCCAGCGATTAATCTAATCCCAATTCTATTCTCTACTGATCTAGTGTTCTGAATACATTTACAACTTACAGCTCTTTTATACAATAACACACGGACCCGACGCATATATGCATTTTAAGGTTTCCTTGCCTGGCTGCCAAAAGGGCGTGTTTCAGCATTATTTCATTACTCACATTACTCAAGTAATGTTTCTTGCGCAAACAACTAAACTGCGTACACAACTTTACATCAGTTATCATAACTTCAACTATCTAATTTGCGCCGCTTTCGTGATTCGTGAAGCATAATAAAAGGCATAATATAAGGGCCTAATACCAGCAAAAAATGGCATAATTCCCGTGATCGCTTCGAAACCTGACCAATATTCTGGTAATGAAACATTGCCTGTGATCACTGATCATGTTTCTATATGAACGATTTCGTGTGAGCTGTGAAGTAGCAAATAAGCTAATACGGTTAGGCAAAATAGTTTGTGATTTAATATACAACTTTGTCACCTATGCGCTTTTATAGTTTGTTTTATAGCCTATAACACACATTTTTTCTTGGCGGAAGCAACTATATTTTTTCGAGAATGCGTTTTTCCCGACCCACTTCCAAAATTCGGCGCCCCCTTTTCATTTTTGCGCCCCCCCCCCATGAATTGCCAGCTGGGGGGGGGGTGGTCCCCCGCCCCCCCCCCCTGCCAGCACGCCACTGCTAGAAAGATTTACTTTATCTCTACAACTGTGTTGTTAATGACTCTGATACAAATATCTCAATACGGGTTTCTAATTGTAGAACCAGAAACTCTAATTCCGACAATGGTATTCTACTAAATGTACCTAAATCCAAGACTGTTAGCTTTCAAAACAGTTTTTACGTAAGAGCACCCAGCGTTTGGAACCTTCTATCCGATATCCTCAGAGACACTACAAGATCTACAGCTTCCTTTAAAAGTTTACTACTTAGATACTACTTTAACCTTCTCAAACACGTCTACAACCCAGACAATCCTAGAATCTTTAAATCGGTGTGCGTCAAATGCCACTCTACTAGTTCTATTCAATATTTATCTTTCAGATCATGTTGTTGACAGTTTGGCGAAAGCCAATTAATGTTTTTGTGCATGTATAGTAAATTGTCTTTTTTGTCGGAACCCAGTTATTGGAGTTTATCTCTGTGGTCAGTCCCAGCAAATGCACTCGTAGATATTTGAATAAGTTCAATATTTGTTTGGTGCGGCGAATCTTGTAAAATAAAATAAAAATAAAATAAATAAAATACCTAACATATATATGTAATATATCTGGGGAATTAATGATTTTGTAATTAAAAGTGATATTTTTAGTGGATTTTTCATTTGTAAGAATATTCATAATAAAAGAATCGTGTTAAAGATCAGTTTTCAATTTAGAATTATCACCACTACAAAATGGAAGTCTAGTAAGCTATAAACTTAAAATATTTGGTGTTACTACAGAATATGCCGGGCAAATGTTCCAATAACACAGTAGCGCAACTTTTTGGGCCCCCGCGGCTCAAATAGGCGAATCCTAGTCAAGTAAGGGCCTCAGCTAGGCCAGGATAACAAACTAGTAAAGTTGTAATCTATCCTCCCGTCATTTTTAAATTGGCAGGGGATCCTCTTCTGTTATGGATGTTTTGGCACAAAATTATGTTAATGCAATAACACCATATAGTGCCCATTGTACCGTCCTTGAAATTACTTGCAGTAATAGCACCATGTATCTTAATTATAACTATCAAAAGCTAACTAACGGCTATACACTGATGCATTGAAGAAAGCTTGCCGAACTACGATGTTCGTGGCTGTAATATGCCTCGAAACCTTGATGGTTTCTGTGTTTGTTCGTGTCATGTTCTCAAGTGAATATGATGTTGGTTATGGTACTCTGAGTGTGCATCCACACCGGGCAAGCTGAACAGTTTGTCTTACTACGGTGAGAATCGAACCCGTAACGTTTGTGATACTAGTCAACTATCACAGATAGATATCATCATATTTTAGAATAGATTGATGTCGAAGAAACTAGACTCTTTTCCGAAATACTACCAACTCGAGTCAACTTGACCTTGTAGCTCAGTTGGCAGCGCTTTGGTCTAGTCCTTTAAAGGTCGCGGGTTCCCACCGCGTGGTCTTGCAAACTTTTCAGCTAGCCCGTCGTGGATGCACACTCAGAGTAACATCGCAAACATTTTATAACACCTTGAATAACCTTAGAATAATAGGATAATTTTAGGTCATTTAAGCATGAAAGAAAGCTCACCTGAGTTGTCAGTATCTGCTACCAAAGTACCTTTTCCGTTAACACCACCTGACCAAATAGTACAGCTGGTTTTACACTGATTTTTTCTTCCAGATGTTCCTGTACTTGCATCACAGCGTGTTAACCTTGCTTGGAGACTTTCAATTCCACCTCCACCACCAGCAATAATAACCGGGGTGTTCGATGACGTAGCTACGAATGTTCCGCCACCCCCTCCTGATGAATGGCTGGCAGAATTTATACCACCCTCTTGTCCAACCAATATTTTCAACACATCTCCTTTGTTCAGTTCAAATTCTCCTCTCATGTAAGCACCCCGACCTCGCGCTGCTGATCCATGTGTATCGTACTCTCCAGCTGCACCAACTGTTTTGATTTCGTATGTACCAGTGTGGGGAACTGTCCAATACTGTATACCATTCTGAACAGTTATCATGGTCTTTACCCACATAGTGAGAACCAAGTGATGTAGGACCAAAACGGCCACTGGCTCCAAGATTTGTGAAGTTGGCGTAAAACGGATCGGTTACTAAAATGTTAAAATATCCATACAAGAAGCAAGTCAAAACGATAACTTGCATGGGAAAGGGAGACATCTTTGAGAAGATCCTCGTGAATAGCAGTGGAGTAGTTCTACACTCACGTGAATTGAAACTTCTATACTTATAAAGTGCTATTTTCGAAAATTGAAATATTTTTGACTAAAGACACTTCTCGAACTAGCAGGCTGACAATTAATTTAATTAATTATTTACAATAGATTTCTCTTATTTTTTCGAAAATCATTGAACTCTCTTCAACGGTTTTGTAATTGTTTTTCACTTATTATTATTAATCAGTTTATTAAAACTTCTTGCAGTTAATGAACTGCATGAATAACAGGTTATATACATTACACTGAATTTTAAAATATACTCTGCTACTTATACATTAATTAAAAGTCAGTTAACTTTACTATCAGACAATACAATTGGTAAAACTAGGTTTCTCAATTTCAGTCCGCTTATTTTACCGTAACAGCTAGATCTGGCGAGCCGATCAGTTCGCACTTTTGTATTTTCCTGAAAATTCTCAGATATAAGATCATAGCCCTGATTTAATCGTGCTGTTCCGGCAATACCATGCATGTAAAGTGCATTTCCAGATTAGATATTTGCTCCACAAATTTCTTGCAAACTATACATCTCATACGTAGTCGAGCGATTGAATAAAGCAAGCTAAATTTAGCGCATTATTGTAATTAAATAGGTAGGCTATATTATAGACAATTGGAGTTTTCGAACCTATTCTAAATCGTCGCTAAGTATTTGGGGCAGGTTGGTACAAACTACCGGCGTATATACTCCAATACTGACACTATAATTCCACAACAGACAGATACAATATCATTCGAAGGTCTCTTGAGCTTCTTCAACGCGTGCATAATCTTCTATTATAGATTTCTTAGTAATATATATATATATATATATATATATATATATATATATATATATATATATATATTCATAATGCACAGACCATGTAAATCCATGATCACTGGAAACAAACACCTTATACAATGTGAATGACGTTGCAGTGTCAACACACTAGATGCCTCCAGCCAGTGAAAATAGATTACAAAACAATCATGATGTCTTTACATGTATTTCCCATATTTGCTTTACATCATAAATATTATTTAGAATTTCAAATTAGACAATCTGTGACTGAACACTGCTGATGTGAAGCGGTAGTCATTGTGACACGATCATTCTATACTTTTAAATTATTTTATTTCATGTAGGTATGCTATTCTGCATCCTATGTGCTTCCATTCAACATAAACGTAGTTTCCGATTACGAATCTCTTTCTACTACAAGATTTAAAAAAAGTTAATTTAAATAACGAGGCGCCCAGGCCGGATTTAACGGAGAGGATTACAGTTTTCGATGTCTGAACTGCAGGATATTAGTCGAGTGCATGCTGTTTTCTTTTGTATATGGGCCGAACCGTAGCATATATAGATGCATATTATACAAACGAATAAAGAACGATATCAATACCCTAGCTACTCTCCAGACGGAACGAGTTAAGTCAATAAGTTATCAATTTATTATACGGAGTGGCTAGAAACAAGAAGAGAAAAAAACAATGTTTATCAACTCAACCAAAAATTAAGTTTTTTGCAATAAACTTTCAACATTTGAACACGCAGGATTTTAAGCTTCTCTATAACAATTTTCAACAAAGATAAATGGTAGCAACATATTTTCAGATATTCGTCCCCGACCCAACGGCGCAAAGCGCCGTTCCGGGCGTAAGCCCGGGGATAGGATATTTACTCCGATCGACTATTTTCACCCGGAGATATTTTCACGCGCACCCTATTTTCACGCTCGTGACTATTATTCATGGTTTTCGTCGTTTCATGAGCGGTTAAGGCTATTTCAGATACTTTAGAGCACCTTGTCACCAGGCTTTTTCTGGCACGGCCACATAATTCAATATAGTGCTTGACAAGCAGTGGAAGTATTTCTTCTTTATTTTTCGAAATTTTTTTGTTGTTATAAATACAAGAAATGACAGGATACGCCTGCAGGTATCTTAGTTTTATCTGAAAAAAGACTTTGACACAGATAAGAAATTTTCTCAGTCACAGTAGAGCACGGATTCGAACGAATTACGCGACTGGACTATCTTTAGCGTGATACCTAGACATCGGCAAAATATTTGAAAAATTGTTTCACACAATGAGCTTTGACGCGACGTTGTTTGAAGAAATGAGCAGAATTATTTACAATGGAAAATCGTACTATAGGACAACGTTCCTTCGAAAGACTAACTAATGTTTATGAATTCTGTTTCTCCAATTTTTGGCGTAAAACATCCATTGCTTTCCTCTTGAATGCTTTAAATTTTCTAAATTACCATGTTTAATTTAGTTATAGATTGTAAAGGATAGCAAATTAATTTGTAGACTAAATTGAAATATTACTCAACAATTTGATTAATTTAAGTAAAAACAGTTTGTCGGCAAAAGCAATTTAGTTGAATGAACATTACAAAATATTTTGCGAAATTTTTCAGATTAAATAGTTTACATTAAAGCAATGCTCATGCACAAAATGCAAAATAACATACAGTACCTAGCCTCCTCCGCAGGCATCTCACCCGAGGAATCGAGCGGTTGGGAAAAGTTTGGTGAGATGCCTGCCATAAATCGACACAAAAATTTGCACTGCGCATACCGGCTCGCGCATGCAAATTTGAACAAACTCAAACTTAGGGGGAGTAGGAACGGCTTACGGCAAGGAGTGAAGAAATATTTGTATATGTTATGTTATGTTATGTTATGAGCAATAAGTATTATTCGCACTATCAATATAATTACTTTATAACGCTTTCGAAAGTAGTTCATTTTTCCTGATCGAAATACATAATTAAGCCAGAACCAGTAACAGGTCACCTAAAAACAATGTATTAATTTCAACCACTTTTTAATACTTGAATTCGTCGATCTTCTCATTAGCCGGTTTACATGCTGATGTATAGTCTGGCAAATGAAAACAGAACTTCCATTTTGCCTCCTAATCGGAGTTTAGTATGTGGTAAACACGGTTGAAAATGCACTCAAATTACTGGAATGAACCATCGGCCAATAATGACTTATTTCGCCTTGCGATTTTGCGAAGGGTTTGCATGCATTGCAAAATCGTTGATACATGATCAACATCTTCGTTTTATTTGTGAACGAACATAAAAATGTATTGCTTGCCTATATTACTTTGTTTTCCGTGCTTACAGAAAATCTGTAAAAAATACCTTTTCCATGCAGAGGTTCGTAATAATCATAGTTTTTATCAGCCTGGAAATTCTGAGGATGTTTTGTTTTCGTGGCGTTGTTGAGCTGACAGTTGGTAGAAGGATGTTGATGTTTTCTCGCTTTGTAATTGATTGATTTACAGTCAAAAGGTTTTCTGAGACAGTACAAAGAACATTCCAAGAAATTCAGTGTGTTGTGTTCACTGATTACATGGCCGCTTAGACGGTAACCTACAAAAAAATTTAAGAAAATATCAGAGATGCAAGTGGAAAATGGGGAGAAAACTCTGATATTCACCTCAATCGCGTGTGCAAAGTGTGAACAGCGCATGGCTCTCCCTATGTTCCATGCAATAAAGCTGGAAAATCGACTTTTATAGATCTGATAGAGTTATCCATGCAGCTAAATACAGTTTGTTTAGTTTAGGTTCCGGTTTAAAACCGGACAGAGACAACGGAGCTGTTGGATGGGGGAAGGAGTAATGCCAGCATTTTTGCATTCCATGCATGAAGATAAAATCGCTCCTTGAATTCGAAATCCAGATTGTTTGTCGTGTCTCGCATGCATCATTCCCAGTATTGATTTGAGGTCCTTTCGTATCTTTAATTGTTTGCCTAATAGAAACTGCTTCGTATACGATTAATTTTATCATAAATGGGAAATAGTAAAAAATTAAATTAAATTTTTGTGCACACCATGCATAATCTATTGACCAGGCACTCGGGCCAGATACCTTGTACTACTGTGCTACATATTAACCTCAATATCGTCAACAAACATGCGTTTGAATTAGGTTCAAATATCATAGGAATGTCTCTTCAGACTCTTAGATGCAAAGAAATCAATTATACTATGTTGTGTGCATGGGGCTTCACTCCAAGCCATTTATCACTTCATTCCATTTCAAAAACGTTTACCTTCTTGCGCTCTACCCTCCCTTCTCCCCCACCGCCACTTTTGAACAGGCTCTAAAAACGTCTTAAGTGGACCAATTAAATGCAAGATCCAATCGCCCTTCAATAACTAATTAATTTGGGTTAGGTCTGAGATATAATCTAATTTTCTGGTGATATTTTTTCATTTATATTTGTAGCTTTCCCTGACATATGAACGCCAATTCTAACTGTATTGAGACCTAGTTTTGGTTTCTTTCTAAATTTTAATTTCATTGCAGCACTTACCTGACATGGACAATTTGAACAACGCACTTGAGTGCAGAGAACTGCAGGTCTGTGCGCACAGCAGTAACAGATAGACAAACAGTATATGACCAGAATTCATGACTGCTGACTTCCAACGTCTTTCTACTTGCCCTGTTGAAATGAAATGTTTTCTATGTTAACCCCTAGTCCAGTGCGGATGATAATTGATGACAATAAAGAAGGGAAAGTTTAATTGCATGCGAGTTTGTCAACTCTCATGCATGCCTCGGTCAAACGAGATGTTGCATGAAAGTTGGTGAGATAATACTAGCAAACGGGCTAAAACTCTCATCAAACTTTGAGCCAGCGCAAAGTTGATGTAAATTGATAAAAATTGGCGGTGAAATGCGAGGGAAATTTGGAACTCTCATCTCTCTCATCAAATATCATCCTAGTTTGACTGGGGCTTTAGTTTTTATCATTTTTAAACCTTATTTGCTCATTACAAATATTTTACTATAATAAAAACAATTTTTATTGCGTTCATATGAAGAATGGAGCTAGCCCACGCTTGTCGAGATCCCAGCAGTTTGTAAATTAAACAGGTTATTAAGATGCTTCGGATATTATACATACAAGTTATTCTTTTTAACGATTTTCGTCGATGTCTGCATATTTGCTAATATAGATGACCGGTCAACATTCTGAAAGTTATGTCCCGGTATACGAGGAAATGAGTTGATGGGAGTTGATTGGTTAAACAAGAACAAAAGTTGCGTGAGGGTTGCGTGAGAGTTGAGTAAATATAACAAGTGGCAAACATGCAAAAACTCTTATCAACTCTCATTGAAATTGAGCTCACGTTGAAAGTTGACTAGAGTTTATGGAATTCGACGAGAAAGTTGGAATTTCTATTAACTTCAAAAATCCCATAACATCCTTTGAAAAATGATCTTTAAAAATCCATGCACAATTCGCTTAAGTGTTTATATAATTATTATACACATATTTTTGCGAACTTTCTTACGGGTTATAGTTTACAGGCAAAATTCAAAATTCTCAAATGTTCGGCTATGAAGCCAAAATTAATGCCTTCTCTCAGAAAATGCAATCATATACAATTGTTTTGCACATTCCAGTCAGGTCTGCCAATACGTTTTGTTTTTCTCGCGATAGACTATGGTCTATACTGCAAAAGTTGGAAGTGACATATACAGGCATCCACAAAAATTCTGAAATAAAGTGACACAATACCATATACCCGTTGCCACGATGCGGGAACGGAAGCGGGAAAATTTCCTATGCATTTTACGGCTTTTCTAAATAGCTCTTTTTTTAATATTTAGGAAGTAAGGTGAAGCTGGTTTTAAGAAGAGGTAGTTAAAATTAACTATACTTAGTTTGTGGAAAAGTTCATGCAGCTCTCGGAATGGTGCTGATTCCTGATAGTTAACTAAATTTAACCACAAAAAGGGTATAGTTCATTAGAAAATTGTTATGATACAGTTTTAGTCAGCCGGTCCTATAATGAGCTTTTAAATGCCGTAGTTTCTCTTTAAGCGGGGCTTTTATATCATCCCGGTTTGCCGGGCTAGTTCGTTTTAAGGAGCGTATGGCTTTGGAATAATTTCCTGTACAAAAAAATTTCGCTTCACATGACAACCGAGCCACTAGCCCGTTTAGCTGGGACCACATTTCACTTAAGGTGGCTCCATGCAGTTCCGTAGTATAAATACCTTATTGCGTAAAAATTTCAATTTATAAATTTTATCACTTCATCTATTAATTTTAAGCCTTCCCAAGTATAAATTAAGTATTTGGTAGAAAAAATTTGCAATATTCTTGAACATAATATTGTTTCCATGGTAACAGTAGTATCGCCAAATATGGTATTTTTTGCTATTTTAAGCAGGTTTTTATTATTTATTTTCCGAATATTGCCGGTGACACCCCATTTTTAACTGCTGTATAGCTTTCACTTTTAATGCTGAATCTTATCCCTGAAAATAAAAAAATTCTGTAGATTAGAAAAGCCAGAATAAAAAATTGCGGATTTAGAGTTTTCCAATCTACAGATTTTTTTTAAAATTTTGATATTCTATTTGTTTTAAAAGAAGTTATCGTTGTGCAAAATTTCATCACATGTCACCGTGCAAAATTTTGAATTACACCGTTTTATTGTGGTATCTCACTCGCTCGGCCGAAAGTTTTTCGAGCTCTGCAAGATCAATGAATTGACATGCGCGTACATGTTTTCGCAGGCGCATCTCCAGAAAAACACGCACAAAAAAGTTTTTAGTCTCGTCGAAATATCAAATATATGTTGTGTTTTCTTGTTTAGAAATGCAAATATCATTAGTTTTGCATGCTAACTCGGGATAACGCCAAGAAAACAGGTGATTGTGTCGTTTGGTATAAGATATGTGTGACATGTATGAACTTTTTGGCTTTTCTACATAGTTTTATATTCGTTTACAGTCGTATAAACTTGTGTGTTTTCATGTTGTTGTTGACAATTTAAAACAGTTTGAACCAGCGCAAGATGCTGTTTCACTGAATTCCTTTGCTGTTAGTAACACTTTGAATACATTTACCAGTTGTAAGTACAAAAAACTCTGGATATATGAACTTATAAATCACCAAATATTGGAGTAAAAATCTTTTCGTCGGTCGGGCCGATCGCCGGTTTTGACAAGAGTTTGAACGTTGAACATTGCATTTTTTACCTTGAAATGTCTTCTAAAAAGACTAGTTATTCAGTGTCCAGGCCAAAATCAGGACGAAGTTTGTTCTTTGAGAACAAATGAGAACAAGGAAGACTCAAAACATCAAAATAAACATGACTTGTGATTCGGATTTTAGACTGAAAAAGTTGTATTTATTTTCGCGCGAAAACTCAACATTAGGTACCAGTCCCCCGATGATGAAAAGTGTATGGAGCCACCTTAAGCTAGGCTGAAATTTCAGCATTCAAATTCGAATAACCGCGGGCTAGTACATGCAAAAACTTCGATTAACAAAAACATTCTGAAGTTATAGTCTTGCTGATAGAATAGTTTTTAATAAAAGATGTGTTCAAGAAAGTATGAATTTGACTTTCGTGACTTTGGCCTACGCTATATTAACTCGTAAACAAGTTTTCGCTCTGTTACGTCTCATCACGGCTAACCGGGCTCATAAATAACTCCAAAATATGTCCATTACGTCATGTCACCTGTAAGTATACGTATATGTATTTATATATACATATTTTTTAGAGGATGTTTATCGCCAGCTCATATTGGACTTTGCCTTTAAGGAAACTTAATTATCAATGCACAAAAAGCAAAAAAGATGACAGTCAATTAAAGTTTTCAATTTAACATATTAACCTATATAATTAAGGACTGTATATTACGAATTATGATCAGGGAGCAGGGTAAAAAGAAAGCTAACTAGGATGTGGTGAGCTGGAAAAGATAAAACATCTCGGGAGATTTGAGGGCGTTCACCAAAAAATGTTCGCACTTTTGAGTTTTCCTATAATATTTTCCTGTTTGCCCACCTTCGAAAAGAGCTGGGGTGTGTTATTTTAAAAATCCTCGTATATACATGCACTTCCTGAGAAATCCCACAAAAATTGTTCAATCCAAAATCCCGATATCTGGCAAAACTTGTCGAAAAATTCCTATTACTATCCTTAAAATTGCCATAATATCCTCTGAAATTCTGTAATCTCATCCAAAATCCTTTTCATAATTCCATAAATCGCATCAGAATCCCGAAAATTGATTCAAAATGTCTTTTAAAATCCACGGAAAAATCCCCCTGCAAAAATTTTAAAACATCCTCGTCCGCCTTTTTCACGGTAATACATGCATGCATCCCTCGATCGACAACGTTTGCGAAAAAAATATCTTTCCGAATATCATATGGTATGTGTTAATCAGCTACTCTAGAATTATGAAGATAAAATTTTTTCTTGTTAAGCAGCAACGAGAAAATTATAGCATTTAAATAGCATTTTCAGTAAATAATGAGTATGTGGTCCCAGTGTATAGTTAGCAAATTAACGGAGAACAATACAATGTAATTGTTACATGCAGTTTAAAGCTACCTGAAAAATATATCAAGAACGTTAATATTTTGAGCGAAGGATTCTTGTCTCGAAAACTCCAATTCAAGTTCTATTATTCACTTGCAGCCATTATTCCATGCAACTACTGTAGTATATTCACTAAATACGTACCTATATCTTGAATCCCTTTCCAGAATTATCACAGTGGAAAATCAAACACCTACTTCTATAGTTGTATGTTCAGTTGCTTAATGACCTGTTTTTCTACTGAAGCGTCATGCATTTAATGTCGCCTCATTATAATCGTTAATTTATTAATGGGGGACTTTGAATACATAAGTAGTGTTGTTGTGCCTTTATTGTTGCGATAAATGCAGATTAATTCATTTCAGTTTCAGTTTTGAGCATTTCTTCTGATCAGTGCCTGCCAAACATAGCTGTTTCATGTCATATGCATTTAATGTAGCTGGTGCCACGAAGACCAAAATTAAACTTGACGGCCTGATCCATTAATGCATGCTTATAATCATCAATTTATTAATCGAACTTAGCGGGTAACCGTACGATTCCTGCATGCATGTTTTTTTCTAGTACGCTTGTGTTTCCAGTTCATACGCCATCTACTTAATATGTAAAAAGTTAATTATTTTCCTAGCTAAAAAAACTACAGATACTTGGCGCCATCACCAATCTTGGAAAACGTTCGGTGATTAGTTGATAAGAGCAATGACACACAATAAACTAAATGTAAAGAATACATGCATGTTCTAACTAGAGAACGAGCCACAAACACTGCTTGTTTATACTACCTCCTCCGCAGGCCCTTTTTCCGGGCACATTTGCGGGCGGTGCAAATTTTTGCGGGCCACTTTTAGAACTTGAAGCGAAGCGCGAAGGGCCTGCCATATAATGTGTCGAAAATCGGGAATATGTGTCGAAAATCGGGAATCCAAAAAAATCTCTTTGAAATTTCGTCCATCATTAGTTCAAATTAATTTATCACGTAAGCTGGGTTAATTCTGGACTTGCTGACAAAAAATCAAATGGAAATACGGCAAATAAAGAAAGAAATCGATATACGACCGGCGTCATATTTGGACGAGAATGCAGAAAATACAGAGGAATCGGGAATCCAAAAAAATCTTTTTGAAATTTCGTCCATCATTAGTTCAAATTAATTTCTCACGTAAGCTGGATTAATTCTGGACTTGCTGACAAAAATATCAAATGGAAATACGGCAAATAAAGAAAGAAATCGATATACGACCGGCGTCATATTTATACGAGAACGCAGAAAATACAGAGAAATATTATTTAAGTTTAATTAAAGTGCACCAAGATCTGCTGTTCATCCACATCCCACCATCCGCGACATGACGTCTTTTATCTTCTGGGCTTTCTGATTTGTTTCGAATTACATTCTGAAGAAATTTGATCCGCTGAAACATGAAACAGTATTTTTGGGCATATGACATATTGACATAAGTTATGCTGGTCGTTCGACGGCAGCGATGTCGATACTCTCAATATATCGTCTTTTGAAATGGACTTGGTATGTAGATTTTTGTGGTAATGGAGTTCTACATGCAGACATTGTGTTATTATCACTCAAAAGACAAAGAACAAGCGAACAATGAGACGCTATATTACTTCTATTTTAATACATTGTGAATGTATATTTTTTAATATGCAAATATATTTTCAGTTTTTCACCATATCCATCTTTCAAATTGTGCTTTTACTGTTTCATGCAGACTGATGTTTGAATCATATCTAAAGTATTTGAAATGGCTTATCATAGGCTTAGTAGCAAAATATGTAGATGCATGTAATATCGTTGATGTTGTTATTGTTGTATTTGCATTGTATAAACACTTTATAAAACAGTCTCCATCAGCATCGAAAAGCGGTGGCCTGTTATAAGTACTTTTTAGTCTACCAAGACCACTGGATGCTATTTCTAAATATTATTTAGATCTATTAAATCAGTGCTGGTATGTATGTTGTATATTAAGTCATAATAGTAATTAGTAAAGTCAAAATGAAAATTTCGATTTATAGCACCCGCCATCTTGAAAACATTACTCGGCAGGCGCTCTCGCCTGTGACCCGCATTTTCCGAACCTGCCCGAAATGCTCCCTAAGCGCCTGCGGAGGAGGTAGTTGTTTATACGAAAGTTACACGTAGTGTAACTTTTGATTTTTATGTCGTATTTATCGACAATTCCACACAAAATAACATTGCTTTATTCCGCGTAGTAGTGATATAACTCTTCGTTTTGAAAGTATTCAAATGTTGTCAAACTCATTAGTAAACTCTCTGAAGACTCTGGATCTCAGGATCTAGTATTGATTCATGAGCAAAACACAAAGGAAGCCAACATCGTATCGTTGTCTTGATACCCCCGGTATATTTAACGCCCATGAATGAGCTCATCTAACGCCATAAATATATCTTGTAATACAAGTCCATTTCATACAGCAGTTTATACAACACCGCGAAACAACTAGCCCGCGCCTCGTTTTGAACACACATTTCGTTTCCATGCCGAATACCAAAAAATGATAACAAATATCTATATACCATATTCTACAATTCACAAGGCGATAGATTAATCACATAGGCACTAATCCCGAGGACGGCTTTGCTCCCTGGACTTGCATAGAACGTCGTTTCCTGCCGGGGTCTCAGTATATTGCTTAGAAAAACACAAGAAAAAATATATTTCTAACGTATATCGTTTATTACGTATTACTTATAACGGAGTTGGCTGAATTGAACCGATTACTTTTCTCCAAATGTAGTAACACTGGACAAATTAACAATTGGACAACGACGCGAATATTCAACGATGGCGTAGCCTACAAGCCTGAGTTCACTATTCGCCATGGACCACTCGGCCTCGTTGTCTAGTTGTTTCAGTATACATTTCTACTCAAAGTACAAGCATAATTGGACAGAATTACATAAGATTTGGGAGCATCCAAGAACGTTTAGATTAAAAGATTCTTTCAACCTTCGCATGCTTTGCCTCCAACTCATTTTCTACTTATCCTCAGCACTTAGTCCTTGTTTCATTCCTTCTAAAATAACAATAAGAACGTTTTTCAAGTGGTGTTATTTTCGTCATCGCATCTTCTTGTTCGCCATTATGATCACTTTGAATATGGCAGCCAAGCTAACTTTGATAATCTTTTTTTCAATTAAAAGTAAGTCATGGGTACGTTTACTTGAAAATATGTTTTAATGCAAATGCATCTAATATTTTGTCTGCATAATTTGTATTATAATATCTGTATTATAATAAAAGATTAACAGTCTTAGTATGCTCGAAAATGAAAAGGGAAAGGGGATTAAATTAATTAAAGGGTTAAAATTTATCGATATAAAAAGTGTATGAAGCTTATAACTGCTTTATACCGATAAATCCGATGACAAAAACAGTACTGAGTTACGAACATTTCTGACACGCAATAAAAAAATGTGAAATAATTAGGGAACATTCAAGAATGAATAATTGTATCGACCTCAAAAAAGGCTCCTAATAATGATCTATCAACCAGCTTTATAGATATTGTGAAGCCATGCATACTGCATGAGCAACAAAATGTGTCAGTTTACAAGGCTATGTTTAAAATACAAAATGAATTAATATAAGTACTATCATATAGTCTATGGAAAAACTTCTATTAATAAGACTAGTAAATATTAAAACGTTCATTTCGTACCCGAGATAAAATATAGTCATGGCCGCGATTACATATGGCTGTCTGGATTTTTTCTGTGGAATATTTTACTTATATGATAAATTTAAAGGCAGAGCTTATGTTGGATACTATACGTCATACAAATGATGAGAATGCAATCTCCCACACATCCATGTAACATATGACAAAGGTCGATGCATTAATCTTTCACCCGATCCAAATTCATAACGATTAAAGTAATTTCCAGCAATTTCGCATTGAAAAAATTAGTATTTCTTGAGCAAACCGGCATGTTGATAGTCCGTAGATAGTATGAATCCAAATGATCATATGAAATTAATAAAAAGACGAAGTAGGCTATAATCTAGTAAAAATCGATAAAAATTTTCGGAGCTTAATTTCCATCTTAGGAGCAAATTTGTGGCCACAATTTCCGATCGTGTTTTTTTAGCGGTCTATTTGTTCGTAGCATTTTCCGAAAAAAAATTTCTATTATGTCTAATTTCTATAATTGTAACAAACTTCGATCTCATCTCATTCAATGTTGGGTAACATTACCATATTATTTTGTTGTATCATAGCGTCGGGATTTGGAAAACACCATTGATTGGTAAGGAAGTGCGGAGGGAGGTAAGTAACAAATTTTGGAGGTAACGCAAGATACAATATCTTCAATTTGCCTTATACCGACGCGATGCAACCAGGAATGTCCGTCATTTTCTGGATAGCGAACCACACAAGAAAAGGGCAAAAGCGAAACAGAAAATTAAATGAAGTAGAATTACGGTATTTTGTTTATACTGTAAGTGTTGTTTGCTTCACTAAATATACTTCACTTGATGTAATTTTCCTTTTCTTTACGCTGGCGATATTCGGTAAATTTTCTCAAAGGAAACACACGAGTGAAGACATATTCGCTGCAACCTGCTGCAAGTTTGCCACCAAAATATGACAGAGAAGGCCTGGACTCAAAAGTGACGGCTTACTAGTTTGCAGTAAGCCGTCACTTTTATAGGTTGCGACTAGTTTTTGCTGGTATATATAGATGGTACTAATGTGATTCTATTTAAGGTATATAATCGACTCATTGCCAGTCTTGTCTGTCAACAACCTGCGTCAAAATGCAGTAACGTACGTATAGCGAGGATTTCTACATAAGGGGCGGAGCAGGGGGAGGGCAAAAAATCTCAGGAGCCGAAGCAATTTTACCCTGCCCTAATTCCAATAATTGCAGGAACCACTGAGAATTTTTATGAAATACATAACAATGGTAACTCCAAATAAAATTTGGAATAAAATTATGCGAATGTATTGAACTCGGAGGCTATCCATACATAATATAATATGCGTAAATATCTGCCTGGTACCCAGGCGCTTACATGAAGTATTCAGGTAGGCTTCCGACGCGCGAAGGGGCTGTTGGGAAGGGTGCGTGCTGGGGAGAGCCTGGCAGTTCTTGTATACTGTCATGGCGGGAAAACAGGGAATTTTATACAAAAAGTTACCATATCGTCATATACTCTGTGTGTAAAACCTTACTTTGTGATGAAAAGTTGAATTGAACGCCATTGGCAAATAATAATACATTTGTAGATGTTCGATGACATGCAAAATGCGCGAAAAATTATGAGTAAATAACATGACAAGTTAACCGTGCGAATATTTCGAATATGTCATTCGATATTACATCGAGAATAATAAAATGCTATCAGTTGCTCAGTTAGCGTAAAACAGTAACAGAGAAATGATTAGAAAGTCATATAGTTGCTTTTGTATTAATAACTTCTTTAGCTAAAAGCTCAATCAGTCGATCACAATGCCAATGGCAATTTCTATTAAATGTATACTGTAAACAAAAGCCCAAGTAAATAAAAGTTCACAGCCGTAAAGTTTGAAATATTTATTACAATAGTGCAATTTTATAGTCTGTACCTTTATATAGTTATAGCTTACAAATCTAGTTCCTGCAAGTCTAGTTCTTCAACGCTTCGGTTGTTGACATGTTAATATTGGAATTTCCATGGACTTTAATTAAGGGCAAATATATGTCATATATATCAAGAATAACAGCATGAATTCACGCCCGGATGACAGAAGAATATTAACATTAGTCAATTCAACAAAAACAAGTAGCAAAAAATCGTAAACGACAACGAAATAGCACAACTTGCAAGAAATCGTACAAATTTGCAAGAAATCGACCAAGAACTGCCAGGCGTCTCGCAGTTCAAGTGCACTCTTCCCATCAGCCCCTTCGCCATCTCTCCCCACTACAATACTTCATGTAAACACGTCATATGGGCATCACTGTTTTTTTACAAAGAGACGCCTGGGTACAAGGCAGCGTAAATATCAAGATCTTCCATCTGCAGACCATTCAAACATAATATAATATGCATGTATTGCCATTCAAACATAATATAATATGCATGCATGCATGCATGATATATGCATAGCAGTACAACACAATTTTAGGGGGTTCGGCCGTATGGTCCCCTTCCCCCAAAAAAAAATTATAGAATTGGTAAAGTACCGTTTTCAGCATTTTCGGGATAAGATTATCGTGTTTTGGTTTCAACACATAACAACTGTTTAATCAGAAACCAATCCAGATATAAAATTAAAATCACAAGTAAAGAAAATATAATGCACTTAGCTAGATATAAAATTTAAATTACAAGAAAGGAAAATATAATGCACTTAGCCAGATATAAAATTTAAATTACAAGAAAGGAAAATATAATGCACTTAGCCAGATATAAAATTTAAATTACAAGAAAAGAAAATATAATGCACTTGTTTCGGATTGGTCAGAGATTTTCCATATGGTGGACACAATTTCCACCTCTGGTCACGTAGATGTGAATATGTCATATCATATCTAAATCCTCCAACATAGCAAATTCAACTATTGCAAATTTCAACTGGTGGGGATTTAGTAAGCGCCATAAGATTGATGGTAATAAACTCAGAAATGTCGAGCCTTATAGGAGCATTAACATAATTGAAGTGCATTTTTCAATTTTATTTATGTGGTCACCATATACGAGACTACTTCAGATAATAAAAATAATTAACTTTTTCTCACTCTGATAGCTGCTGGTTGACGACATCTGCTGCACGATAGTGGTTATGTGGTCAAACCAACCAATAGATGGAGATGTGCAATATTCTTCAATTTTTCAAGTTCGCAATGTGGCATGTACCTTTTTGTACACAATTAAGGTATATCGATCTCTGTCTAAGGCTTTCTAAATGATACTGCTTTGTCGAAGGACGGTAGATGATGAGTCACTAGATATACTAGAAAATGGCGTTCAAAGAAACTGGAATGTTGTTGCTCAACAAAATTTCAACAAAATGGTTATGATCTATCCTGCCTCATATCTCGTCCCGGGAAAGTTGGATCATATAAATCGCTCTTGGTCTTACTTTCCTTGTTGTTCCCTTTTGAAATATGTTTGTTTGTTTGTTAAACTTTATTGAGTACAAATTAATTCAACAAATATTCATCTAAAATACAATTAAAGAGCTGTACTCAAACGGACAAGTCACAAACTGGACGTAAAGTCCATTGCATGGTGCCCCTCCTCTTCCTAACATAAACATTTTAATTCACAGTATACTGTACAGGGTGTTCCAAAGAAACAAAACCACTGAAACAACGCACTGCCAGAATCCGAACGCCTCAGCACCAACTGAACGCAAAGATACGTAAATATGATCGACATGATGCATATAATATGAGTATTGAAGAAGTTAAAATATCTTTGTAAGCTCACGATTATCTGCTCTTTGGAATTTAAAGCAACTTCTTAAACAGTTTCTTTATTCGTAAAATTTACTTTTGTCAAGCTTTTATGCACTTATGGGTTCAGCAGAGTGCTAAGGCAATTCAATTCCCAAGCAACACGCCATGCATCTCAACAGCCTTGGTCCCCTCTGGGGCACCCTGTATAACATATTTACTTAATAAATATTAATATTATGCATGCACATTAATTTGATTAGTTAAGTTAGTTTATTATTTGTGACAACCACAATCACGTTTAAGTGACCAGGTGCAAGTCATGTCCGGATCAGATACTGTTTCCAGAATATTCTAAAACCTCATCTTGAGGTATAGTTTGAAAGACGATGGCGATGTAAAACTGGAAGGATCAATCGAGACACAAACACTGTTCCATAATTTGACAACACGATTAAAAAACGACGAACTGTACGTACAAGTTTTACACAACGGAGTTTCTAAGTATTTGGATCTCAATGCTCTACGTGTCCGTCCATGATTGACAAAGTTATCAAATTTGAGACATCAAAGTCAATATATCCGTTCACAGCCTTATAAAAATATACTAAGTCTTTGACCTAGCTCGCGATCGTACGCAAGAGGGAGCATATCCAGTTGCTGAAGTCCCTCTTTGTAGGATAGTTCACCTGCTTTGACGCGCAAGATCCATCTCGTAGCACGTCTCTGAATCTTCTCAGCCTTTTGTTTCAATAAGGAACTTGCTGGAGACCAAACTTCAGTCGCATAACTTAACTTGGACCTAACCAACGTCAAATAGAGAGTCTTTCGAACACTACTGTCAATAATTGAAATACATGTTCGCTTTAATAGACCGAGTAATTTGTTAGCTTTCGCACAAATGCAGGTAAGATGTGATTCCCATGACAAATTCTCGGTAATGATTACCCCGAGATCTTTTTCTTCGTTTACTCGAAGTAACTTGGTAGAATCCATATGGTATTGAAAATGCAATGGATTGACCTTGCGTGTTATGGACAGAACTTTGCACTTTGACGCATTAAAGTTCATGTTATTTTGATAACTCCAAGAACTAAGTTCTGTTAAAGCGTCTTGTAATTTCTCACAGTCACCGATAGTTGATACGTTCCTATACAGTTTGGTGTCATCTGCGTAAAGTCCTGTAGAGATACAATCTGGCACAACGTCTGGTAAATCGTTTATGAATATTACAAATAGCATAGGCCCCAAAATACTTCCTTGCGGAACGCCCGAAGTAACATGTTCCCAGTCGGAGACTGCACCGTGTACAACAACTTGTTGGAATCGTTGATGCAAATAATCTTTGAACCAATCATGCATGCGGTCTACTACACCAAAACGTTTAAGTTTTTTTAAAAGGATCTGGTGGTCTACGGTATAGAAAGCCTTCGCAAAGTCTAAGTACAGTACATCAGTTTGAACATTTTGGTCCAGATTCTTACCAATTTCATGGAGGACTGCAAGCAATTGTATAATATTCTCTTTGAACATCAAATATACAAGCTAGTTTTGTTCTCGAGTCTCCATGTTCTCCCCTTTATATCCGTCCACCTGTCACGTGTCCCCCCACGTGATAACATAGAATATTACATCCCTGCCTTACTGGGATTTAGAGACGTGCTAAAGTCACACTAAACATAACTAGTAAAAGAACCCAAATTTAAAGTCAAATGTCAACTAAGTGTTTGTCATATAAGGTTCACTCAATGTGATTCGTAAAGTACATGCATGCATGTCTTAATACAGTCTGTCAGACACGGTGACAAGTACTGGGAGCTTATTAGTCCGACAATAAGTTCCTTATTCAGCGCTATGCATAGTCTGCTAGATGTCTTGGTGGCGCTCGAACGCGTTGAGGATAACGGTGAGGTTCTTGTTGCTGTTCTTCAGCCTGTGCAATGTTGTCCGGTTCACCGTCCGTATCTTCGAGGTTATCATGTTCTCCATCGGTTGAGTCGCCTTCCGTTGGTTCATTTTGTTGTCTGACGAGCTTGAAGAACGACGAGTTTCTGGTCACTGTCTTTTCTCCTCGCGTGGCGGTTACCATCGAGCCTTTGCAGCTGATTACTTTGTATGGCTTTGGTTCATACGGGGTTTCGGACTTTCGATGTGAGGGATCACGCTTTAGGACCACGGTATCGCCAGGTCGTACTCTCGATGGCTTGACGTATGCTTTCGAGTCAGCATATTTCTTCATCTTTCTTTTGGCTTTCTGGTCCGTCTCTTGGATCTCGGCCAGGTCCCGTGCATTGGTGTGTACATCGGGTAGCTTCGTTCGGAGTTGGCGATTGAAGAAGGCTGTTGCTGGGGCCTTTCCAGTTGAGCTGTGTGGTGTAGCTCTGAAGTTCCGAAGGAAGTTGGTTAGTTCTTCCCGCCATGGTTTCTGCTGTGTAAGTGCAATCTTCACGATCTTCTTTACCGTCCTCATGAACCGCTCTACTTCGCCATTGGCTCTTGGCCAATAGGGAGTGATCTTTCTGTGGGTAAATCCCAGGTTAGCGGCGAAAGTTGCAAAGGCTTCGGAGTTGAACGGCGGACCGTTATCGGATTTCAGAATTCCTGGAATGCCAAATTGTGAAAAGATGTGTTGGAGTTTAGGAATTACAGCTTGGGCTGCCACTGAACGAATAACTTCAACAATTGGATAGCGTGAGTAGTCGTCAGATACCACCAAGAGGTAGTCCCCTGTTGAGAGTTCAGCAAAGTCAACGCTTATCTCGTCCCACGCTTGATCGGGCAAAGTAGACATTTGTAACGGCTCACGTGCTGCCTCCGGGGTTGCAACTTGGCATGCGAGACAGGATTTTACTCGTTCTTCGACCATTTTGTTGATTCCGGGGAACCACACCTTCTCTCGTAGTAGGGATTTGGTTTTGGTAATGCCTTGGTGACCTTCGTGAGCCAAGTCTACGACGCGACGTTGTAGCTTGTTTGGAATCACTAATTTCGTTCCGCGAATGACTACTTGGGTTGTTGTTCCAACGGTTAACTCATCTTTGAGGCGTTCGTATGTGTGAAATGTGTCAGTGTCGACCTTTGGATGCTTGGCTAGTTCATGCCACTTGCCTGATTGAACGGCGTCTATGACGGCACGGAGGGTTGGGTCACGTCCTGTGGCCTCTGCAATCATGCTGAGGGTGAGTGCAGTTGGTGTTGAAGTTGTGGCAATGTAATTTATGTACTCTTCAGCAACTTTTTCCTGTCTGCTGCAGGGTTCGGTGTGGCTGGAAGGGTGCCTAGACATATAGTCTGCAGGATTTTCTTCTCCTTTTCGGTAATGCACGGTGGTCTGGTATGGTTGAAGTCTGAGTGCCCATCTTTCGATACGAGCAGGTGGTTTCGAGTTCGCGTTGCCATAGATAGCAACGAGGGGCTTGTGGTCTGTGTAGACATTGACTGGCTTGCCGTAAATGTAGAGGTGAAAGTGTTCACATGCCCATACTACAGCGAGGGCTTCGCGCTCGGTCTGGCTGTAGCGTTGCTCGGTGGTGGTCAGAGACCGGCTGGCATATGCAATGATACGCTTGACTTTGGTTGTGGGATCGATTTGCGCTAAGATGGCGCCCAGCCCAACCGGGCTTGCATCAACAGAGATTTCAGTTGTTTTCTCAGGGTTGAAGTACGCTGTGACAGGTGCATTGGCCAACACATGCCGGAGCTGGGCCAGGGCATGTTCCTGCTTGTCCATCCACTCCCAGGCATGGTTCTTGTGGGTAAGGGCTCGCAGAGGTTCAGTAATTGTGGCATATCCCTCGACGAATCGTGCACAGTAGTTGGTCATGCCTAGCAGGCTACGGACTTTTGTGACTGACGTTGGGGCTTTGAGGTTTAGGATATCTTGGACTTTCTTTGGATTGGGGGCCATGCCATCTGCACCAAAAATGTACCCGAAGAACTCAAGGCTGTTTTTGCTGTACTCGCACTTGAGTTTGTTCAAGGTCAGCCCGCGTTCTCGAAGCCGCTGAAACACTGCTGCGAGTGCTTGATCATGCTCCTTCTGGGTCTTGCCAAAAACGAGTATATCATCGCTGATGTTAATTGCGCCCGGGATGCCGTCAAGACTCTCGCGGATGGCGTTTTGAAAGATTTCGGCGGCACTAGATATTCCAAAGTTGAGTCGCTTGTAGCGCATGAGCCCAAGGTGGGTGCTGAAGGTGGTAATGTACCTGGATTCCGGGGCTAGTTCTAATTGGTTGTAACCCTGGTTGAGGTCGAGTTTGCTAAAGACAGTTGCACCATTCAAATCGCCGATGATTTCCTTGATCGTTGGGGTGATGTGCGTTCACGCTGGACTGCTGTGTTTACACGACGCATGTCAACGCATACACGGACCTTTCCGGGTGACTTGGGCTTTGGTGCCACAACAATGGGCGATACACAGGGAGTTGGGCCCTCCACGCGTTCGATTACACCCAGTTTTTCGTCCTGACTTAGCTGTTCCTCAAGTTGTTTGCGCACATGGAACGGCACGCGTCGGTGTGGTTGGGCATCTGGTGGTACACCTTCGTCAATATGAAGCTGAACCTGGTAATCTTTCAACTTGCCGAGTCCTTGGAACAAGTCCTGGTATTGGGTGGTGAGCTGTTCAACGGTGGGAAGGTTTTGATGTGTAATGGGCTTTACGACTTTGAGTAGCTGCAGGTCGGTAGAAGTGCGCCAGCTAAGCAATGACCCACTGGTTCCTTTCACAACATAGAATGTCTCTGTACGGTTGACTGTTTCCGATGTGACGGTGGAGGTAAATTGCCCAAGGACGGGTAGGGGTGTCTCGGTCTGGTAAGGATAAACTTTGATGCGTGTTTGCTCCAAACTCGGTCGTGGGGAGAGCTTGTTGTAATCTTGCTCATCCAGAATGTTGATACTGGAACCAGAGTCTGCCATTATGGTCAGCAGTGTTCCCTCGATGGTGACGTCAAATAATGGGTGTTTGTTGCGATCCGAAGTCATGTTGTTGACGTTGATTCGGAACACGCCAACTTCGTCGCTGTCATCGCTGTAGTCAGTTTCTGCGGTGTTGTCCATCGCTCGGACGTCCTGTCGCTCGGCTGTTTGCGGGTAGCGTCGCTGACGTGGTTTGGTGGGGTTTGAACGTTGTCTGTCTTGGAGACATACGGACTGAAAGTGGTTAATTTTCCACAGGAGCGACATTCTTTTCCGTATGCTGGGCAAGCAGTTTTTCCGCTTTCATGCGGGTATGTGCCTCCACAATTACGACATTTCACCCTGGTACCGGGGCTCCGGGATCGGAAGCGTGCTTTGTTGTGGTTTTTGCTACTTCCGGTTGTGAAATGGCTGACGTTCTCTGTTCGTTCTAAGTTCGCTGCTTGCGAGTCGGCTAGCTCCACCGCTTTACCCATTTCTAGAAGTTTTGCCAAGGTTATAGTTGGATCGATTAAAGCTTTTCGTCGAAGTCGTCGCGAGCGGCCGTGTTGGATGATCTAAGATTTGATTTCGCGATCGGCATCGTGAAATTCATAGGTGAGGGAAAGTTGTTTGAGTCGTGTATAGTACGTCATAAGAGCTTCGTCGTTGGTTTGTTTGGCGTTGCGAAATTTATATTCTTCGAATACAGGGTTTTGCTTTGGTGTAAAGTATTCAGATAGTGCTTTAATTGTGACGTCTAGAACTGTTTCTCCTTCTGCCGGTTCACTGACTGTGAGTGTTTCAAAGATATCATTGACTTCTTCACCGATGTAGTGTAACAGGAGCGCCTTTTGACGTTTGGGATCATCGATGTCTGTAGCGACTATCAAATTTCGAAAACGAGCGATGTATTTCTTAAATCTGACGCCGGGTGCTCCCTGGTCCGCGTTGGGATCGAAGGAAGGGAATGTTGGCAGAGCTGTTGCCATGTTTTGTTGTGTGTTAGGCTGTTTTGAGCCGTTAAATCGAGAGTTTTAAAGCGTTATGTTTGCTTGCTTTCCCGCCACGTGTAGACGCCTAGCGTACGTTTTTCGCTATCGAACGGCTTGGTGTTTCTGAATATGAACACAAGAGTGTACTGATCTTTCTGACTTGAGTAAGATCTTGCGCTGGGTTGTTTTGTTGTTTGTGTTAATAGATCCTCGTCGCCAATATAATATTCTCTTTGAACATCAAATATACAAGCTAGTTTTGTTCTCGAGTCTCCATGTTCTCCCCTTTATATCCGTCCACCTGTCACCTGTCCCCCCACGTAATAACATAGGATATTACAAGTTGGGTGGCACACGAGCGGTTGCGTTGAAAACCATGTTGCGGCGTTGTGATGAGATGTTTTACCTGAGCACGCAGACCGTTCCCAACAAGACGTTCTAGAACTTTGTTTATTATGCACAGCAGGGAGATAGGTCTGTAGTTGATGGCTGGTTCAAGGGAATCCTTTTTGTGCACAGAAGTGATATTGGCCATTTTCCATTCCAACGGTAAACGAGCTGTTTCTAGCGATCGGTTGAAGAGGGAGCAGAGGCTTGGTGCGATTTTATTGCTACAAGTTTTAAGGAGACGAGCAGGGATTTCGTCGGGCCCACTTGCTTTCGTGATGTACAGAGCATTGAGATAATTTGTAACATCTTCGACTGTCACAGTGAGTTCGGATAATAGTATTTCGGGTGGAGGATAATCTAGTAAATTCCTATTGTCGATATCTTGTAGCGAAGAGGGAGGACGAAATACAGAAAAGAAATATGAATTGAACAGTGCTGCCTTACCAGCTGGTGTAGTTGCTGTTTTGCCATTATGTGTTATTTTCGAAGTTGACTTTCCATGGTGGTGTAAGATAGCCTTGTGGTAACTCCAAAATAATTTTGGGTTGTCCTTGAAAGAACCTTCGATTTTCTTGAGATAGTCGCGGTGCTTTGCCCTTATCAAATATTTCACTTTTTGACTTAGTTCGCGCAGGTTTGTTTGCGGATATCAGATCTGTCCTTCCGAAATTTTCTCAAAGCATCGTATTTATTTCTTATGAAATGGCGAACTTCTCCGTCAATCCAAGGCGGGCATTTCTTGTCTTTGATGGTCCTTGTTGGAACAAAGTGAAAGTGAAAAACCAAAGGGAAACCGTGCACGAAAACTTTCCAACCGATTTCCGGAAATTTCGAACCACCACTGTGTCCAAAGAACCACCACTAGGTTTACGTTTGAAAACAACCATTTCGCCGCAAATTAAACGTATTAAAAACGATTTACGCGCGAAATTAATATAAATTTGTTCTGATTAATTTCGATATTGATTGAGATTTTTCTAATTGGCAGCCGTTATAGCGCGAGCGATGACGCGTGTTCGTTTGTTTGCGTCAGACAAAACTTGTGATTCCAGCTGATAGCTTGATTCAAACCAAAAACTGCGATATTTTACGCTTTTTCTTGATGTAGACAACCAAAAATCGTACGCCAATCTAATAATACCCAAGACAATATCCTTATCCACTATTTTCCAATGAAGTCGAAACTTTAACGTTTAGTTTTGATGCAAAATTTTAAATAATTTTACGGAGCGCCGAGCGTGCGTGTGCACGCGCACGCGCTATCACGTAATGAAATAGTGCAATAGACCGACGTTATATCTCAAGGTTAATCTGACATTCAATTTTTTGTCTTCAGTGTATCTTGAGATCTGACACCTTTCAAAACTTTCATGTCATTTTGCTTAATTTAAACATTTCACATGAAAAATTTTTGGTATAACATAATCATTTCTGAAATATTTAATTTTGACAAAAACTATTCAGTTTATTTCACCGCATTAATTAATTAATTATTTAATTAAAAAAATAATTATTTCATTGCAATAATACAATTAATTTTTCGTTTTTCTAATCAATAAAATATAACTTGTTCAATAAAAAACCCTCGACCATTTACGTCTGCATGGCAGATAATTAATTTAATTTTGACCAAAGTTTCTATGAAAACTATAATACCATGCCAATCAAACGAAGATATAAACAGAGTCACATTGCACAACGTGCAGAGTGAGTAGTTTAGTGCATAATGATAGACTAAACTGCCTAACCGCAGCAAATATTGAAACAAATTCAAAATTAGTACCTTTAATTGCCAGGAAGCCAAAACCTTGTCAATAAAATTCAATTATTTTAAACTCGACTCGACTCAAGCTTGATTCGTGGCAAGCTGCCAATTTCCGATCAGGTGATTTTCAAGTTGATTGACCATTCTCAAATTCATTAATAATTCATGAGTAATTCAGCCAATGATAATCACCTATTTGATCACAAGATGCTATTTGGATACTTGATGAAAGTCACTAGTGTTTTCATCAAATATCTTAATTACGCATGCAAAATTACTTGAATAGAATTCCTAATTACGTTATGCATGCTTGGTTAAGAATTCTATTCTAATCAGCAAACGAAAACATTCTGTTACGTCTCGATTCATTTGAGAAGCCATATAAACAACTCGAGCTCGTGTCTCACCGGGATACCCAAACACTCGAAAACAATGTATGAAAACACTCGCGCTTCGCGCTCGTGTTCTCATACATTGTTTTCTCGTGTTTGGATATCCCGGTGAAACACTCGCTCTCGTTGTTCATATATTACATCAAAAAGCTTTTTCTTACGTTAGCAGAAACTAAAATTTCATCAGAAATATTTGCATTTGGATATTTATATTTTATAGAGAACAATTTTTTCATACAGACTTGTCCTCGTCAGTCGAGTTATTGAACAGACATGAAATGGAAGAGCACTCAATCACTATAGAGGTGGTCTGAGATAGTGCATAGACCAACACTTCCCATCTTTCCGTGTCCATGGTCGATAACTCAATTAAGCACGCCAAATCATGAGAATATTCATAATTCCTTATTCCTGTCGAATGAACAGAAACTGCCTGTCTATGCAGATAGGATTTGAATTTTTATGATATAGCACGAGATGTGGAATATTAAAAATAAAACGAGATAATCATCCTTTAAAGTATAGAAGCAAAACAGTGCAAAACAGTTATGAAGCTAAGCAAAATATATTTCGTATGTTTTGTGGTGGTGTATATTTTACCTCTGGTAACATGTCTGCCACAGCAGTGGCAATTCGGATTTGGCCATGCCATGGTATATAACAATCTTTAAATATCTAAGACTGACGTTGCATGCATGCATGCTTTTTATAGGATGAATACCATAAACCAGCAAGAGAGATAGCTCGTTAAAATATAAGAAATAAACAAAATGTTATTCATTGTTTTTAATATCCTTGGTGCAACTAGCCCGCGTGCAGGCCCAAGGGAACTGATAGTGGGCCTGCAAGCAAGGCCCGGTATTTTGTAAAACGCCCCTTTTCATAACACGCCCCATTCGCGCGTCAATTGTCAAAAAAGAACCAATGACAGCAACCCAAATATTAACAAACAAACTCGCATTAAAATGTTGCGGGGTTTTCTCTGCTTTAATATTCAAAATAGAAACAATGTGTAAATGCCTGTGTTAAAACTCAAAAAAAACAAGCAACGCAGTCAGTAATTGCCAAATTTACAAGTGCTCATTTTCAACTAAAATCGGAACAGGCAAATTAAGACGAATTTCAACAGAAAACCAGTCTCAAACTTCAAATCGTGAGGGAAGTCGTGCGACCACATCAGCATTTATGTTGCTTCGCTGTCGCCATTGTTATAAATAAATTGTCTCACTTATCAGATCGTGTGTGCAATTCTTGTTGGCGGCGGAAAGTACGAAATTTATTTCAGTTATTTCATTTGGTGAGAACTCTACAAAAGAAGAGAGCGTTCAGAGTCCAGATCGTTTCGTTTCAAACGGCAATTTAATACCGTCTTATCTTTTGCTCTCTCAGCGAAGCCTTGTAAATCGCAAAGTATTTTGAATAGGCTTACATCACATGCAACTGCATCTCAACATCAACCAAAAGATAATTTTCTTGAGGAACATATAACGTATCAAGTCTGTTTGAAATTAATGAAACTCAAGTAAAGGTTACTATAGTTTAATACCCCATTCGTAATAAATGTTGCTATTCCAACACCTCACGACAAGCAATCCTCATTGGCATAACGGCAAAAACATTTCTTCCTTCAAGTAAACAATAAACAGTCTGTTCTTGTTCCATTTGTAATCGAAAAAAGTGATCAATTTTCGAATTTTAAGCTTATCGAGAGCCTTTGTCTATGCTTTTGTGATGAATCACTGACCTAATTATAGAATCCAACAGCAAACAGCCAATCAGAATGCCGCGTTCGTGGGCGAACGCGGAAAGTACAAAATACCGGGCCTTGCTTGCAGGCCCACTATCAAGTTCCCTTCAGCCTGCTCCCTTGGGCCTGCACGCGGGCTATGGTGCAACCTTTTGGTTTAGCGAATCTTTAAAGATTTTGATTAAAGGAACTTGATTTTGAAATTTCGAAGGAACTCGCTTTTGAAAACTATTTGAATCTATTATCAGGAAGAAGAAAGGATCTCGTCAGTCTTGTGATTTTAAGTTAGTAGTATAGCCTGACAATAATATTGTCCTATTTTCATTCTTATCTCAAGAGTGACAGATGTACGTTCGAATAACCATGCACAGGACCATCTGACTGTTCGTGTGGCACCATGCCTTTAATGTGCACAGAAGAACCTCCAAAGACATGTGTTATCCATTTCGTTGGCATACCGGGACCTCCTCTACCGCCAACATTGGAACCACCCAAAAAAACACCGAAAAGCCAAGAAAGAAAGAGAAAAGGGCACGGAAACAATGCCGAAAAGGACAAGGAAACAATGGAAAATAGAAAGAAAACAACAGTGAAACCAAAGCAAGTCAAGCAATTAGTTCCAAAAACGGTTTCGATAATGCCACAATTATTATTAATATAATTTTTCAGTCGTCGCACCTAACAGTAGAACCATTATAACAAGTAATGATATATTCTTATATAATAACTACAGTGAAACACGCAATTTGATTGGTCAACAGCCGCGCGGGATCAGACAATCCTGCACGTGAAATTCTGAACAGAAATTCTTGCACATAATTTTACAAATATACTCGCATTGTAAAGTTTTATTGTACGATACCTTTCGACTTCGAAGTAAGTTTGCAATTATTGAGACGTTGGTTTAGTTGTATGGATAAATTTCTGATCGATACATTGCTGTTCAGCAAGTAGCAATGCGTAGCGTTGAAATTCATCAGACCATGGCAAGTACAACATCTCTCGCTTCGAAGTTCAAACGCTTCGCAATCTTCAAGTATTCAGGTCGAGAATCTTTAAAACTACTTTGGCTCTCTGTTTAGCGGGTTTTCCATTTCAAATTTCGTATATTTTATCGAAAAAGTCTTTGTATTTTCGCTGTATATTTTCGCGAATTTGCGATCAAATTCTGTTCACATTTGTTGTTGCATGTTGTTTTCAATAGTGCGTAGTAGCGATTCTCCGATTGGTTAATTCACGATTGTTGTGAGAACTGCACATTTCATCAGTAATTTTAATCAAGTTAACCGTCGTTTCACTGTAGTAATTTTATAAAACAATTACCAAATGGTTTTCCCGTGCAGGATAGCATGATCCATGCACTTGGGATGTTGCTCGACTTTCGGAAAGCGTAAAAATACACTCGCTTACGGCTCGTGTATTTTCACGCTTTCCGAAACTCTCGCAACATCCCGCGTGCATGGACCATGCATATTATGCATATTATGCTGCATGCATATGGTGATAAGAAATTGCCGCTATTGTGAGCGCGGAGCGCCTATATGTGCGGGTGAAACGTTTCTTTGCCGCCATAAGTTATGAAATCCAATTGCGATCCGATTTACAATTCTGCTAACATATAAAATCACATTCATTCCCCCTCTCCTGTTTAATGTCATGAAATTATCCTATTTTACCTTCCTCTTTATTCATTTTTGCTTTCATTCTTTGGTAAAATGATTTTATACAGTGATATAATACTCAGAGTATTTTATCCTTTTTGTGGCCAAATTTTCTCGAGAATTATGCAAATTTTTCGTTTTCTAATCAATAAAATATAACTTGCTCAATAAAACCCTCGGCCATTTACGTCTGCATGGCAGATAATTAATTTAATTTTGACCAAAGTTTCCACGATAGCTATAATACCATGGCAAACAAACGAAGATATCACAGAGCACAACACAGTACCTGAACTTACAGTTTACAGCTCAACAGCTGGCCTCTGTAGCTCCGTTGGTTAGAGACGCTGCACCGGAATCGCAGGGCCGTAGGTTCAATTCAACCAGAGGACCTTGTGCTGCATTTTTCGCAGTCGTTCCTGGTCAGATCTTAAAATGTATATATATATATATATATATATATATATATATATATATATATATATATATATATATATATAATCCTTTTAAATTTAAAAGCCGGTCGTATAGGGAAACTACAGGCTGTTTTAGGTGTAAAGCTAAGCGATGTGACTGTTGTAAAAACTTTTTAGAAGAAGGTTCCACCTTTAGTTCCACAGTTTCTAAAAGAGTATTTCAGATTGGTAAAGATCTTACTTGCATCTCCGATAATGTTGTTTATCTTGCTAGTTGTGTTGCTTGCAATTTGCAAGGAGTGGGTTCTACTATCAATTTTAAGATCCGACTCGCTAATTACAAGTCTCACATTAAACGTAATAAGAGAACCTGTGGTATTGTCAACCATTTTCTGGATTGTCATGGTGCTGATTATTCATTGTTGAAATTCATGCTAATTGATCGGCGCCAGGGCAACCTAAGGGAATGTGAAAATTTTTGGATTGGTATGCTATTGACTAATCAAAGAGGACTTAACTCTACGCATGATTTTGTACAACAATAGGATTAGGTTAATTACTTAGCATGCTAAATAGTATAAATGCCATGTGCTGTAACTTAGTTTTTATTCTGAGGAAGGCCGTGACAAGTGGCCGAAAATTTATTTGTATACTTTACTTTAGTCATTTTTAATAAATTCTTCGATACGTGGCCATCTCTTTGTCGTAATATATATATATATATATATATATATATATATATATATATATATATATATATATATATATATATATATATATATATACTCATGCACTTGGATTACAAACCCTAAGAACAGCATTTAAACTGAATAACCGCAGCAAATATTGAAACAAATTCAAAATTAGTACCCTTAATTGCCAGGAAGCCAAAACCTTGTCAATAAAATTCAATTATTTTAAGCTTTAATTAATTAACTCGATTCAAGCTTGATTCGTGGCAAGCTGCCAATTTCCGATCAGTTGATTTTGAAGTTGATTGACCAATCAAAAAGCTTTTTCTTACGTTAGGAGAAACTAAATTTCATCAGAAATATTTGCATTTGGATATTAATATTTTATAGAGAACAATTTTTTCATGCAGACTTGGCCTCGTCAGTCGAGTTATTGAACAGACATGAAATTGGGATGGCACTCAATCACTATAGAGGTGGTCTGAGATAATGCATAGACCAACACTTCCAATCTTTCCGTGTCCATGCTCGATAACTCAATTGAGCACGCCATGGCCAAATCATGAGAATATTCATAATTCCTTATTCCTGTCGAATGAAGAGAAACTGCCTGTCTATACAGAAGGATTTGAATGTTAATGATATTACACGAGATGTGGAATATTAAAAATAAAGCGAGATAGTCATCCTTTAAAGTATAGAAAACGTAGAGTATAAATATATTGTAAGAATCTTACATGAATAAATTCTATTTAACTTCAATTTTAATTTTTGGGCACACGCATCAAAATTAATTGGGTTGTACCTGGAGGAAAGTTTTAATAACTAATACATCGGTGCACTTGCAACAATGCAGTTCTTGCTGGTGGCCATTTTATAATCCAAGTATTAAGAATCGTTGTTTCTTTTATCTGATTATCGTTACTTGTTGCCATGGCGGTACGCAGAGAGCGGGGGGGGGGGGAAGTGGAGATAGGAGAGGGGAAGAATTTTACGAAGTGATATTCTCTTCAAAATGCAACTGCGATTTTTGTTATGCAACATTGTATTTTGATACACTATTTTTCTATAACAAGGCTGTATTTTGGAACACTGTATTGTGCAAGCATGCTTGTATTCTGGAATACTGCAATGAGCAAGCTTGTATTTTGGAACATTAAATTGTGTAAGATGGCATTATGGAACATTATATTATGCAAGCTTGTATTATGGAATATTAAATTGTGAAAGCTTTTATATATTATGCAACATTAAATTGTGAAAGCTTGTATTATGCAAGCTTGTATTAGACAGATTTATAAAAGACGACGCGACCTCAAAGACGACGTGGATGTCGTCATTTGGCGCCAACTATCGTCAGCTTCTGGTTTGCCACGTCGTCTTGGACGATTTCACGACGCGAAAACGTCCTCTCTAGAACGTCACAGATTTATGCTTTTTTTGAAAAAA